GTAATATATCTATATCACTAAAGCACTTCTGGATGGATGCAAACTGCATTTCGTTGCCCTGTACCTGTGCATGTGCAATGACAATAAAGTTGAATTCTATTCTATTCTATTCTATTCTCTTGGCACTCGATCATATGCTTTCTCTTGATACACAAAAACACTGTGTGGCTTCTTCCCAGTTCATCTATACTTCTCCATCACTGTCAGAATCCCATGTGTCGTTCCCTTTTTCAGTATTAAGCCATACTGCTTCTCACCAAAGTGCTTTATGCACTTTTTTAAATGCAGAGGCATACACTGCATCATGCACAAACCTATTGCAGTTACAGTATTTCAGTCACATAATATTTATTGTAGGGTCTACATTACAATATAAAGCGCCTTGAGGTGACTGTTGTTGTGATTTGGTGCTGTATAAGTAAAGTTGAATTGAATAATTGATTGATAGATTGATAATACTTTATTCATCCCGAGGGAAGTTGGGTTAAGGCTGCCAGCTGTGCCAGCGCCATCTTACCCTCCGACCATACATACATTACACAAAAATCACATGGGGAATACAGGTCAGAGAGGTATAACAATGGAAAATGCACAACATGAGGAAAGACGAGAAGAAGAAAGAACTCCCCCTAGATCAGTGGTTCCCAAACTTTTTTTGCTGGGCCCCCCCTTAGTTTTCCAAGAAACTAAGCCCCCCCGCAAGCACACGCACAAACACATCCTCCAACCACACACGCCCATATTTTGCTCCATTGCGGTTTATTTCACACCTCAAACATTTAGTAAACAATTAAGCAAATACAAGTAATCAGCAATAAATGACAGCTAGTAATAAAATAAACTACTAACCCTTTTACGCTGCGTCTACACCTACACGGGTATTTTTGAAAACGCAGCTGTTTCGTCCACGTAAACGGCGTTTCGAATCACTGAAAACGAAAAAATTTTAAACTCCTTTTTTGCGTTTACGTGTGGACGAGGAATACAGAGTTGGTCACGCAACAGCTGTGCGCCACGTTATTGTTTACAGGAGATGAATTGCAAAATGGCAGATATTCAGATTAACAGTATTTTGTCTCCATCTTCAGGTTTTACAAGCTTACATAAACACGCAGTTACTGTCCCTCTATTTACAAATGCAGAGGCGTCACGGTGTGATTATTTTACATGTAGTTTTTTTCCCCTCTGTAATAATGTTCAACATTGCATCAATACGTTTTTCAAAAAATGCCTCTCTGTGCAAAATGGGTTTAAAAACATAAACAGCTGTGGGATCCTGTTTGTCCGTGACTTGAACCGTGGAACAATCAGCCCTGATGTTATTGCATCCAGCTGTAACTTTACTGTATAAAGAGCAAACATCTCCAAAATGTCAGGAGTAGTTAGTCATTACAAGAAGTGTTTGTAAAGTAAAAATCAAGAATATGGGATACTGTTTGATTTGAAGAGCCCAGCGCTGCTCCCGACGAAGGGAAAACCCAACCCTGCAGGGAGACCCTCAGCACCTGTGCAGGTGAAGCCAAAGGGCAGATTTGCTTCACCATATTTTCTAGTCTTTGGCTTAGAATGAAGTTGGTTTGAAACATATTCAGCGACGCTTCATCTCCTGCTTTGCGTTTGTGTGGGCGCCCCGTGCTAGCCAGTGTCCAAGCATTGTTTTGTTTTTTGTTGTTTTTTTTTCCTTTCATACCGCGCAATGGCTCTGCACCCCATAGGGGCGGGCCCCACACTTTGGGAAGGTCTGCCCTAGACTGAGCTCCAACAGGGAGATCAGTTTGAGAACAGAAAAAAAACACCTCAGCACATGAATCATCACATCTCCACAACATAGATGACATAAGCTTCGAAGGCGTTTGGGGGGGTGAGTGTAGGTCTGTGTCAGTGTACATGCGTGTGTGTGTCTGTGTGTTCGTGTCAACTGAGAGAAAGTGTCCCTTCACCCGGTAAGCAAAAGTCAACAATCTTCGGATCAACGCGGACGGCCTGAAGAGGAACAAAGAGTCCTGACAACAATCTGTTATCATGGAGATTTTTGTTGTTCCAGTCAGCTTAGACCTTGGCAGGCCTTCAGCTGGCGCCAGTGGGATAGCCGCATGAGTGAAGATGAATGATTTGGGTTTAGTGCAAACAACTGCATCCAATTTTTACAATTGGTCTAATGTCTATCACTGGTCACCAATTCTCTCAATTCCCGTTGTTCTTCTCCAAGATGTATCCATATTGCGTTCAAAACACAGTCTGAGTACTCACAGCCCTGCAACCGTCTGTCATGTCGGCCAGCCTTGTGGGATTTTGAACAACTAAATTTATCTTTAAATAGACAACTCCGATGTAGACAGAAATAACCAGCCCATCCCTTTTGCCCACCATTTATGCTTCTGATAGTTTTTCTGTCCTGCTTCTGTGTCTCTATCAGGCTATATCGAAGCTGTGGTGATCCTGCAGGAGCTAGAAGGATCAGAGTAGTGGAGGACAAACTTCACATAGTTTTTTGGGTAATGATGCTTGTGTTTTCCAGATGACTTTGTGGTTCTTCTCAACAATGCCGCTCACTTTTAGACACGCTGAGACATTAGATACCAGAAATGTCTCTTTCCAAAATAAAAGCTGTACTATACGCTTCTTCTGGGCTATATTCTCAGCAGCATATTAAACATACCAGGTCCCCATAAGGAGAATCATGTGCTAACGGCTGTCTAAATGACTCGGGTAAAGTTTGTAGCATGCATGCTTGTTGTTTTTGTCTGCTTCCACTTGTCTTTGCACTAGGATGATGTCGGTGTAAATGTGCAGTCATATTCGTTGTGTTCCCACTAGTGCTGTCAGCGTTAATCTCATTAAAAATACATTAACGCCATAACGCCGCAAATCTCCGTTAGCGAGTTACCGGGGATCGCCCCGTGCGCGGCGCTGGACAGCGTCAACACGTTAACGAGCTCACTGTGCTAATGCACTAGTTCCCACCAATGTAATTGAGCATTGCGTGGCACATCCAACATACTGTTTTACTTTTGTCCATGACGCGCTTACCTTCAGGGTCATGCTTCACAGGAAAAAAAAAAAGTTCCAAACACCAGATCTGAATGAGGGTGGGGGAGGTTCAATTTGCCATGTTGCAACAAGCTTAGCTTCTGTCTTGCTAGCTTGCGCTACGCTCAGCGGATCTGCGCTCGACAGTGCAGCCTAGGCGGAGTAGTCGAACGCAGATTCACTGAGCTCTCAACACAGACAGCATCGTCAGAAGGAAAGTTGATAAAATAAATTACAAATTTTGTATTGTTCGATACACATGCGTACCGAACCGAAAGCACTGTATCGAACGGTTCAATACCGATACGAGTATTGTTGCACCCCTAATATATATATTAGGGGTGCAACGAGTGCAGATCCGCTGAGCGCTCAACACAGACAGCATCATCAGAAGGAAGAGCGCAGGGCAAGCTAGCGAGACAGAAGTTAAGCTCTCCTTGCAACATGGCAAATTGAACCTCCCCCAACCTCATTCAGATGCAAAGACAAGTGGAAGCAGACAAAAACAACAAGCATGCATGCTACAAACTTTACCCGAGTCATTTAGACAGCTGTTAGCACAGGATTCTCCTTATGGGGACCTGATATGTTTAATATGCTGCTGAGAATATAGCCCAGAAGAAGCGTATAGTACAGCTTTTATTTTGGAAAGAGACATTTCTCTGTAATAAACTCTCTTTTCCAAAGATGAGTGATTCCTCAATCAGATACAGGGCTTGCAATATCGCTAGCCCGACGTCCCGGGGCTAGCGATTTTTCCAGTCGGGCTACCAAAATCTATCTCTGCCCTGCCCGTCGGGCTATCATAGGAAGGAAAAATATATGTCAATGCTTTTGCATTCTTTCAGAAATGTAGCTGGGTAATTGTGTCATTGGCATCGGTGAGCCACTGTCAATATGTGACATATTGAAGTCGCGTTTGAATTTGCGCTTGTTTTTTGCTTTCACTTTGCAATCGTGCGAACTGTGTATAGAGAGCGACAGCACTGATCTGTGAGTGATGATAATTTGTGCACCAATTCCTCTGACATCGTCTTATTAATCATTAGCTTACTATGCAAACATGACAAGTGAAATCTCCCGCAGCTTAAACATGTGAGAGGTTGATCGCGCAGAGAATCGCTGAGATTATGTGAGTCCGTGTGTAAAAGCAGCAGTATATATATTTTAGTTCTGCTGAGCCAAATAAGACAGGTCAGGGTGAAGAAGTGACAGCCAAAGAAAAGCTTACCACAAAACGGAGAAGTTATGACAAATCAGACTATAAGGCAAAAAGAAAGTGCAGCTTTATGGTTTCATGGACAAAATTATTTCTGTGGCTGCGATATGACGAGCTAAATAACCAGGGCTGCACATAAGTGGTCCGCAGGTGCGCATTCGCTGTCAAAATAAAAAACACGCACAAGGGTTAGGGTTAAATTTAAAAACTGTAATTTTGAGTTAAAAGAAATATTTATAATTTTAATAAATTACAAATGAAAAAAGGCATGAACATTTTTTTTGTATTGAAAAAATATCGAACCATGACACCAAAGTATCGAACTGAACCGAACCGTGAATTTTGTGTATCGTTGCACCCCTAATATATATATATATATATAGATAGATAGATAGATGTGTGTGTGTAACTTCTTGTATCTTACTTATAGCTCTCAAAGACTCAAGTAAGAGGTCCATCAACAATGACTGGAAAATTGAACTTCCAGGAGAATTTGAGCTGGCTGGAACCACTGTGCGCTATGTTAGAAGAGGAATATGGGAGAAGATGTCTGCCAAGGGACCCACTAAGACTCCTTTATATCTAATGGTAAATTGATTTGTATTGCTACTCATGGAAACAAACACACACACCCACACACAGATACACTACCAGTAAAAAGTTGACTGGTAGTTGAAAAGGTAGACGCATATACTGATTTAATGTTTTTTCTTAATTTTAGATTCTCACTGAAGGCATCAAAACTGTTAATGAATACATATAGAAGAATTATGTAATAAATAAAAATGTCTGAAATAACTCAAAACATGTTTTAGATTTTAGATTCTTTAAAATAGCCACTCTTTGCTTTGATTACTGCTTTGCACACTCTTGGCATTCTCTTAATGAGCTTCATGAGGTCATCACCTGAAATGGTTTTCCAACAGCTTTGAAGGAATTCCCAGAGATGCTGTGCACTTGTTGGTCCTTTCACCTTCACTCTGCGGTCCATCTTATTCCAAAACATCTTGAACGGGTTTAGCTTAGGTGACTGTGGAGGCCGGGCCATCTGGTGCAACACTTCACATCACTCTTCTTCTTGGTCAAATAGCCCTTCAACAGCCTGGAGGTGTGTTTGGGGTGATTGTCCACAGCGAAAAATAAATGATGGTCCAATTAAAAGCAAACCGGAACCAATGATGGCATGTTGCTGCAGGATACTGTGGTAGCCATGCTGGTTCAGTGTACCTTCAGTTTTGAATAAATCCCCAACCAGCAAAGCACCCCCGCACCATCACACCTCCTCCTCCGCTCTTCACGGTGGGAACCATGCATGTAGAGAGACCATCCTCACCTCAGACCAAAGCATAGATTTCCACTGGTCTAATGTCCATTCCTTGTGTTTCTTGGCCCAAAGAAATTTCTTCTGCTTGTTGCTTTTCCTTAGTCGACATTTCTTAAAGGCCTGATTCACACAGGATCCTCTGAACAGTTGATGTAGAGATGTGTCTGCTACTGTGTGGCATTTATCTGGGCTCTAATCTGAGGTGCTGTTGTAATTTCTGAGGCTGGTAATTCAAATGAATTTATCCTCAGGAGCAGAGGGGACTCGTGGTCTTCATTTCCTGGGGCGGCGCTCATGTGAACCAGTTTTAGTGTAGGGCTTGATAGTTTTTGCAACTGCACTTGGGGACACAAAAAACCTCTGAGTTTTACCAATTTTCTGGACTAACTGACCTTTAATTCTTAAAGTAATGATGGACTGTCGTTTCTCTTTACTTCGCTGATTGGTTCTTGCCATAATATGAATTCTAACAGTTATCAAATAGGGCTGTCAGCTGTGTACCGACCTGACTTCTGTTCCCAACTGCATTAGGAAGGCAAGAACTTCCACAAATGAACCCTGACAGGCTCACCTGTGAAGGGAAAACCAATTCAGGTGACTACATCATGACGCTTACTGAGAGAAGGCCAAGGGTTTGCAGCACTGTCAACAAAGCAAAGGGTGGCTACTTTCAGGAATATTCAGAGTTATTTATTCATTTATTCTTTGCTTCATAATTTCATATATCTTGAATTCACATATTTTACTTATATTGTGGTGGACCACTAGAGGGCTCCACTCACACCCAGTGTAGAGGAAGTGTGTTCCTGTGTTTTGTGGCGCGATATGCGCAGTTGATGTTGGAGACGAATAAAGAAGGAGTGAGAACTGAGAGCTGTGTCGTTGATGCTTACCTCCACATTGGTGACCCCTGACTCGAGCATGCAACGGGCCGTAGATAACGCACACTCCACTATGGATGCATCAGCGGCCGCCGGACCTCCGCCTCCTGTTGCAGCTACGTTCGCTGTGGCGCTGAAACTGCCGGACTTTTGGCTCCATGACCCCCCGTCATGGTTCGTACACGTGGAGGCTCAGTTCGCCCTTCACGGCATCTCGGCTGACGACACGAAGTATCACCATGTGGTGGCCTCGCTCGACCCGCTGGCCACCCGTCGCGCGATGGCGCTCCTCCGGGACCCACCCGCCCAAGGGAAATACGCCGCCCTCAAAGAGCTGCTTCTTCGGCGCTATGCCCTCTCCGACGCCGAACGAGCCGAAAAGCTCCTCAACCTGTCAGGCTTGGGTGGCGGTACCGCGCTCGAGCTCATGGAGAACATGCTATCGTTGCTCGGGCCGGATGACGGTGGTTTCCTCTTCGTGCACCTCTTCCTTCGCCAACTACCGGCCGCCGTGAGAGCTGTCCTCGCGAACTCTCCGCTTCTGCCTGCGAAGGATTATCGCTCCCTGGCTGAAGAAGCGGATCGCATTCTCCTGGCTAGCCGCACTTTCGACGTTCACGCCCTGGCTACGGACACGCCGGCGGCACCTTCCACGCCTCCACCTGCCTCCCCCGGAGCATCCGCCCCCTTGCTGACGGCAGGGATTGCTACACGCCGGCACCGCGGAAAGAGCATCTGTTTCTACCATCAGCGTTTTGGCGACAGAGCGCATCGCTGCCTGCCGCCTTGCGCTTTCACGGCCCAGGGAAACGGACCCGCCAGCGCGCCGTAGCAGCCGCGACCGCTGGCAATACAGAAAGGCTGCTCTTCATAGAGGACTCGCGCTCCGGGAGACGTTTTCTCGTGGACTCCGGCTCCCAGAAGAGCCTCCTTCCCCCTACCGCTGCCGACGGACTAGCAGCGAACTGTGGGCCGCAGCTCATTGCAGCTAACGGCTCTCCCATCAAAACGTTTGGGGAAAGGTTGGTGACTGTTTGTTTTCATGGCCGGGATTTCCAGTGGAACTTTGTTGTTGCTGCTAGCTCTGTACCTATTTTGGGTGCTGATTTCCTGTGTGCTCATGGACTACTTGTCGATGTCGCTAACAGACGTTTAATCGATGCTCTCTCGTTTTCTTCGCTACCCTGTTTTACTCGGGCCGCCGAGCCCCTGATTCGGGCTAATGTAGTGACCTCCGGGGATGCTTTTCAGCGTTTGCTTTTAGAGTTTCCATCACTGTCTGTCCCTAATTTCTCTAGCACGGTAACGAAGCATGGGGTTGAGCATTATATTCCCACGGTTGGGCCCCTGGTGTTCGCGCGCGCGCGCCGCCTCGACCCCGCGAAACTGTCCGTCGCTCGGGAAGAGTTTGCAGCCATGGAGCGCCTTGGCATTGTACAGCGTTCGAACAGTGCATGGGCCTCTCCGCTTCACATGGTGCCCAAATCGGACGGTCGGTGGCGGCCATGCGGAGATTTCCGCCGTTTAAATAATGCCACGGAGAATGACCGTTACCCCATCCCCCACATTCAGGATTTTTCTGCCAATCTCGCCGGAACGTCGATTTTTTCTAAAATTGACTTGGTGCGGGGGTATCACCAGGTTCCCGTGCGCCCCGAAGACGTTCCTAAAACCGCTGTCATTACCCCCTTCGGCTTGTTCGAGTTTTTGCGCATGCCGTTTGGCCTGAAAGGTGCCGCCCAGACCTTTCAGCGGCTGATGGACTCCGTTTTGCGTGGGCTGCCGTTCGTTTTTGTTTATCTGGACGATATATTGGTGGCCAGCTGCTCAGCGAGCCAGCACGAGTCCCATCTGCGCCAGGTTTTCCAGCGTTTGGAAGCGCACGGCCTGATCATCAACCCTTCCAAGTGCCAGTTTGGGTTGCCTGTTCTGGATTTCCTCGGGCACCGCATTTCCGCTGAAGGTGTGGTTCCGTTGCCCGACAGAGTCCAGGCCGTTTCGGCTTTCCCGCGTCCCACGTCGGTTAAAGCGTTGCAGGAGTTCTTGGGGATGATAAATTTTTACAACCGCTTTCTCCCCAGAGCTGCCCACCTGCTACAGCCACTCTATGCTGCCTTAAAAGGTAAAACAGCCCAAAGATCCGGTTGACTGGCTGCCTGAACGCGTCCGTGCGTTTTCCGCAGCCAAGTCTGCGCTGGCTGACGCCGCCCTGCTGGCCCACCCGCTTCCGTCGGCGGAGATCGCGTTGACCACCGACGCCTCGGACGTGGCAGTGGGCGGAGTGTTGGAACAGCGGGTTTCAGGTCTCTGGCAACCGCTCGCCTTTTTCAGTCGTACGCTCCGGGATGCTGAACGCAAGTACAGTGTTTTTGACAGGGAGTTGCTGGCCCTGCACCTCGCAACACGGCATTTTCGTTTTTTCCTCGAGGGTCGCAACTTTGCTGCGTACGTTGACCACAAACCTTTGACGTTTGCGATGTCCAAGGTCTCTGACCCATGGAGCGCACGCCAGCAGTGCCAGTTGGCGGCCATTTCTGAGTTTACCACAGACATTCAGCATGTGGCTGGTAAGTCCAATCACGTCGCTGACTGTCTCTCGCGTGTGTTGGTTTCTCCGGTGTATGTCGGCATCGACTACGCTGCCATGGCCGCCGAGCAACGTGCTGACCCGGACGTCCTTGCCCTTCAGTCAACAAAAACGGGCCTTGTGCTGGAGGACACCCCGGTGTGGGACGGCGGTCCGCGCCTTCTTTGCGACGTTTCCACCGGCCGCCCCCGCCCGGTGGTTCCCCTTTCGTGGCGTCGTCGTGTTTTTGACTCGGTGCATGCCCTCTCTCATCCCGGCGTCCGGGCCTCGGTCAAGCTGGTCAGCGCCAGGTTTGTTTGGCCGGGCCTTCGCAAGACGGTGAAAGAATGGGCGGCGGTTTGTATCCCATGCCAACGCTCGAAAATCCACCGGCACACACAGGCACCCCTCGAGCCTTTCCGTGTCCCGGGTAGGCGTTTCGATCACGTTCATGTGGACCTGGTTGGTCCCTTGCCGCAGTCACAGGGTTTCACGCACCTTTTGACTGTGGTGGACCGCACAACCAGGTGGCCGGAGGCGGTACCCTGGCGTCCACGACAGCGGCGACGGTGGCCAGGGCATTTTTGTCAACGTGGGTTTCACGTTTCGGCCCCCCTGCTGACATTACCTCGGACAGGGGCCCCCAGTTTGTTTCCGAGCTTTGGTCTGCTATGGCTGACAGCCTGGGAGTCAAGGTCCACCGCACCACAGCATACCACCCGCAAGCTAATGGGATGTGCGAACGGTTTCACCGGTCACTTCAGGCCGCGCTCCGTGCTTCCTTGACAAGTGGCGACTGGGTCGAACGTCTTCCGTGGGTTTTGCCGGGTTTGCGTAGCGCGGTTAAAGAAGACCTCGGGGTTTCCCCGGCTGAACTGGTCCTCGGCCAGCCTCTCTGGGTCCCCGGGGAATTCTTACCTGAGAGCCCTCCCCATGTTTCGATACCTCTTTGTTGCCTTTTCGCCCCCCAAGAAACTCATTTCCTGTTCCTGGTCCTGTGCACCACTGCCTGCCTGACACCTTTGTTCCGAGTTCATTGGACTCTGCTCGTTTCGTTTTCGTCAGGCACGATGCCCATAGGACTCCGCTGCGTCCACCATATGACGGGCCATACAGGGTTCTTAAACCAGGCAACAAACATTTCGTTTTGGACTTTGGCGGTCGGCAGGAAGTTGTCTCTGTTGACAGACTTAAGCCTGCACATGTTATGCAAGAGGATCAGGTGGTCCCGGCCCAGGCCCCTCGCCGCGGCCGCCCACCTGCCACCGGGCTGATGGATTCTGTTTTTTTCCCCCAGGAGCGACCCGAAATCAACGGAGTCCGAGTCGTCTTCAGCTTTTTCTGACCGCCAGTGCCAGCCTCGCTCCCGGGCTGGGTTGCCCTCTGTCAGTTCCCCACCCCCCCAGTTCAGCCGCTCCGGCCGTTTGCTTAAGCCCCGGGTCCTGGACTAGTTCTGCTGGGTGTTCGGGGGGGGGCATGTGTGGTGGACCAATAGAGGGCTCCACTCACACCCAGTGTAGAGGAAGTGTGTTCCTGTGTTTTGTGGCGCGATATGCGCAGTTGATGTTGGAGACGAATAAAGAAGGAGTGAGAACTGAGAGCTGTGTCGTTGATGCTTACCTCCACAATATATGTATATATATATATATATTTCAGTGTATCTACCACTGAATCAGAGGACTTTTTTTTTTATTAAGCCACTTAATGCTCACCTGTGATTCATTCAAGCATTAAAAAGGCACCCAACTCCAGGGTTGGACCAGTTTTATAACCCTAACAGACAACTTGGCAAATAAACAATTATAAATACCATTTTAGCCACTTTATAGAAGGGCAGCTACCCAGAACACAGCCATGTTGTTACTGTATTTAAACAATTCAAACGGAAACAGCAGTCTTCTTTTGACTATGGTGGTCCTATCTCAGTCCATCAGCCGGTCAATCTGCATCCCTCAGATTTTGTCAGTCTTTTTAAAGATATAAGTTATGTCTCTATTGAAATGGATTAGGCATTTGAGTTTTACCTTTTTAAATAGCCACCTTCCTTCTGGTGCAGCTATAAATCTCTGACGCGCTTTATTATTAAAGTTTAAAGAACAGAAAAGAAACGTTTAAAGAACAGCTATACACTTGACTGGGTTTATCAACAATATTTTACAGCTAGAAAAGCAAATGTAGAGAAATTTGGTAAGCTATAGGTACAACTTCCCTTGTCTTTCAACCCTTCTATGTCATATTAACAGGTACTGCTGTTTCATGACCAGAGCTATGGGATCCACTATGAGTACACAGTGTCTTTAAACACAGGTCAGAACAGGAGCAGTGAGGAACAAAGGGAACCAGAGTATCTCTACATCTGGACACATAGCAGCTGGCAAGACTGTAATGTCCATTGTGGAGGAGGTAAGCTCTCTGCTTTATTTGGTTTGCTTTGTGGAAACAAACAAAAATGAAGTAATACAGGGGAACTGACACAAAAGGATGAAGCTAAACTCCAAAGTACCAGGAACTGGGAATATAACTAATCAGGAAAATGCTCAAAGAACTATATAAACAAAACTATAACCAGGAACTAAGGAAAACAAAAACACGATTCAATTAACAAATACATTTCCAAATTAATTCAAAATAAAACAAAACCAGACAGTGCGTAAACCTTCACAACCATGACAACATATGTGTGTACTGTAGACTTGATAGACCCAAATTAGGCAGGACACATTGGAAGGATAAAAAACTGGCTCGAGTTTTGTCAACGGGGATGCAGACAAAAATAACCAGAGGGATGAATCCAAAAAGGCAGGTCATTAATTAGAAGCAGGCCAGAAGAGAAATAAGTGGAACTTGTAGCCAATGTTAGAAATGTTGTGAGATGAATTTGGAAATAGGAAACAGATGAGCAGGTAGGGATGGAAATTGATAAGAATTTAGCAATAACGATTCAATTATTGAAATCACCTCTCGATTTGATTCCTTTGATTCTCATTTGGTTCTTACTGGCTTATTTGGTTTGTGCATGTTGGAGGTATTTCCCCATGTTGTTGTGATCTGTGTTAGGGTCACTGCTCAAAAATTTACGTAGTACAGATATTACACTTTCCTTAAAAGCAATGCAATATGTTACTTAATTACTCTAAAGAGAAGGTCATTTTACCATAAATGGCCTCCTTGACTCCGCCCTCAAACCAGCATTCCTCCCTGTCCAGGATGTTACATCCTCATCATTGAAAGAGTGTCCACTGGCCTGTAGGTGTAAATAGACTGCAGAGTCCTGGCCTGACGAGGTGGCTCTTCTGTGTTGTGCTATTCGCTTCGCCAGAGGTTGTTTGGTTTCCCCGATGTTTAAATCCCTGCAATCCTCCTGCACTTAACAGCGTACACTATGTTACTCTGTTTGTGTCGGGGGACCCGATCCTTGTGGTGGACCAATTTTTGGCGCAGCATGTTTAGGGGTTTGAAAGCCACAGAGACCCGGTGTTTAGACAAAATGAACTCAACTGTTCCCATACTCCTGACACATACGGGATCACTAAGGGTTTTCACTGTGATGGCAGTTGTCTTTCTTCTCTCCTGCATTGAAACCTGCAGTTAGCTGACACTGAAGAAGTCACTTGGATGAGTGACGTTTCTCTTAGACCAGGGGTAGGCAACCTTTCTGTTGATGAGTGCATCTAAAATTTCCTCAGACATGCTATATTGGCTCAGTTTATTTTTCTTATCATTGTTGTGAGGAGACCATAAATTGCATTTTCATTTTCTGTTGTACAGTACAGTGCTGTTATGGATAAAAAGTCTTTTTTGTTTCAAAATAGCTGATAACTATTCACTGACAGCTGCCAACATCTGCAAACAAATATAATCCTATAAAGTGGTTCTATATAGTGTCTAACTGTTAATATAGAGCGTTATTAAATTTATTGCTAATGCAGTCATATGGCACACTGACCTCTGAGGAAATGTTAGATGGCACTCGCCATCAGAAAGGTTGCCGACCCTGCTGTAGAGTAAAATTCTAGTATCACTGTAGGTGAATGGGGGAATGTGGCATCTTGCATAAAGCACTATGAGTGCTCCAATAGACTAGAAAAGCAGTAAGCACTAAGTCCAACTAGTTAAAACTCAGACACTACTTTATAATATAAAGTAGTTAATATGGTGTTATTAAAAAGGTGTTGCATTTTCCCCCTTAAGTCCCTCACTCAATTCTCTCAGCCACGCTGATTTTTATGGGTACCTCAGCAGAAATGGGATAAAGAAATTCTTGTTCCCTGCTCTTTTCTGGTATTTTATAACGGGTGGGATAAGGTATAGCACTTACACATATGTGTGTTTGTATGTGTGTCTGTGTGTGTTTTGTACAGGAGAGAGGAGGACAGTGGTTTCATGTATGAGGATAGTCAACAAAACTATGGAGGTTGTCAACAATAGTTACTGTCAACCTGAAAACCGACCGCAACCGCAAGTACGTCTCTGCAACACTCACCCCTGCCAGTACCGGTGAGACACACACACACACACACACACACACACACACACACAAACAAATAGCCATTGAAATAGATACAGTATGACATAATACATATACATTATTTAGCCCATTTTTAGAAATTCTTTTGCTACAGCAGTGATGATGTAGTTGTAATAATAACATAACAGAAGATACAAATAACAAAATACGTATACTTCCCTACAAAACTCAGTACACACACGAAATCTCGGGTCATACTTCATTTTCTCAATCATTTTTAGGCCATATTCAGACTGTAGTTCGTTCAGTCAATCAAACAATTTATTTATAAGCAGATTTAAAAACCAACACAGGATGACCAAAGTGCTATACAGAGTTTGTTATCAATAGGTCAATGTTTTGGGGGTTTTAGGAGCATTCATTGCACTATGAAGCACAATAAGATGAAGTAATTTCTTTTTGTGTCCTGTTTGTTTTCAAAGATGACAAAGAGACTTCACAGCGATCACCATGGTGATTCGACTTTAGATGGATGGCTCACTTTATCACAGTAGTGGGCAGGGCTCAGCATTTACTCAGTTTTAACATCACTCTGGGTTCTTGGCTAGGTTAGCATTAGCATGCTGTCTGTGCAGGTGCTCACGAAGAGCCGAAATTTTGTTAACAGTATAATGCAGTTGTTTCTGTCCTGAAGCAGTCTCCACTTTACCACTTTGTTTTTTTGTTTGTTATTTGTGCAATAAAAAAAAGTAATGTCCATATCCATGCTGGAAACCGCGCAGTTATTGTACTCCTCCGACACGCGAACTGAAATCAGCTTATCGTAGCGAGAGTGCACGAACCGATAAGCAGGATAGATATAGGCTGGCAAGTCGGTTCTCGATTCCATCACCATCACTAACCGTTATAGCTCTATAGAGCTTGGGGACAGAGCTCTGACAGTGCAGGTATGGATCATGGTCCACTCAGACTCAATGGCCCCAGTCTCCCAACTTGCATGCTGTTGAAGCTTTGCTAGAAGTGGGAATTCTCACAGACCAGGGTCTCTTCCAGACTTTCACAGTGTGCCCTCACTAACCATGGGGCTATTTCCCACATTCGCATGGAAATCCCACAGTAGGAAAGTGACCCAACTGGGGACAATGGAGTCCCTACCCTGACTCTGACCCTTATTCACGGTGGGGCCCAATAGCCCCAATCCTGGTGAGATAACACAATCTACTTTTTTTTTCTCCACCGAGGTGTCATTGTAATTGCATTTTCAGAGCACTAGATGCTGCTGGTAGTTTTGTAATTTAGGAAAATAACTTCACCCGAGTGATGACAGAAATGATCAGTTCAAGGTTTCACAATGGATATTCTATAACCCAGTATTAGAGCCCGTAGGTGTGCCGTGAAACATGATCAGGTGTGCCATGGAAGATCATCTGGTTCCACCTGATTACTACTGTAAGCAATCAGCGTGATGGGCAAAACACTTACATTCTCTTCCACTAGAGGGCAGTACAACTACCTGTTCTAATTAAATGAGTCACGCCGTAAGACGACGCAGTAGATAGATAAATAGCAATAGATAAATACAGCGGAACCCCGGCTTACGAAGACCCCGTTTAACGAAAAATTCAAGTTACGAAGGCACTGAACGGCAATATGCCCGCGTAATGAAATAGATAAAATAGAAAATAAAAAAATAAATAAATTAAATTCAATAATGTTATGTACATGTACACGTACGTATGTATGCATGTATTCGTATGCTTTCTTCAACCTCTGCCACCTCCTCCTCCACCAAGAACTTCGTCTTCAGCCAGCATCGCCTCACTCAAAAGGCGACGGAAAAAGGTGCTTCGACTTACGAAAATTGTGACTTACGAAAGACCCTCTGGAACAAATTCATTTCGTAAGTTGGGGTTCCACTGTATTTGAAAAGAAAAAGTGTTCAGTCTGACCTGAGTCCTGGAGAAAACTGACTCAGATGAAGACCCTAGTATGAGCAGTGGTCAGAAGAAAGCAAAAAAGGTATACTGGGGACAAACCGAACCAAATCCGCTACGCCTGGTGCACAGGGAAAAATGATCAATATGCTTTCTGTGACATCTTTGTTTGATGCTGTGCCCTGTGACTTTTATAATGTGGAATATGTGCTGTGGCTCCAAAAGGTTGGGAAACACTGCTCTAACCAGTGGATAACATCACAGAAGTTACATCCTTGTTTGTTCTACCAGTCATTGGTATGATTGAACTCAAAATGTAAACAACTGATATTTTTCACAGGTGGATGACAGGTGAGTGGGGGCCTTGCTCTGTCACTTGCGGTAAAGGTCATCAGCAGAGGGAGGTGTTGTGTCTTTACCACCTACAGAATGGTTCAGTCATCCACACCAGGGACCTGTACTGCCAAGGAGGAAAACCTCCTGTTTTACAGGGCTGCGAGGGCCGCCTTTGCCTCACAGCGTGGGAGGCTTCAGAATGGTCCAAGGTATGGCACATGCACACTTTCTGTACTTTAATTTTAAGAAAACATGAAACTGTAAGAAGAGCCCTTAAGAGTATACCGGATGTATTTAATCTGTAAGATTAAGGGCATCCTGTAAGAGGTGTACTGATTTGAAAACTGAATCAAATTCCTCACCCAGAATATTTGGAAGTCACGTCATTTGGTGTATGATGCGCCCTTTTTCTGTAAGCATCTGCCAGATTCCTTCAGATGTAATTTTGCTGCAGTGTCAAGAATGCAAATGTTCATGTCAGCTCCTTTAAGTAGCGTAGGATCAAAAAACCCTTGGATTTTAATCTAACAGAATCAACTTTTGGAGATTTACTTACCTGGATGATTGAGACTGCATCAAGACATTTCTTTCTTATTCTTTTCTCCAGTGTTCATCAAATTGTGGTCAAGGTGTCCGCAGACGTACAGTGTTGTGTACAAACCCTCAGGGTCTGTGTGATCCATTATCCCAGCCAACTCAAGAAGAATATTGTGAGGACTTCTCCAAATGTTACGAATGGAAAACCGGAGACTGGTCCAAGGTATGACAAAAGCAAATTCATATATATATATATATATATATATATATATATATATATATATATATTAGGGGTGCAACGATATTCGTATCGATATTGAACCGTTCGATACAGTGCTTTCGGTTCGGTACGCATATGTATCGAACAATACAAAATTTGTAATTTATTTTATCAACTTTCCTTCTGACGATGCTGTCTGTGTTGAGCGCTCAGTGAATCTGCGTTCGACTACTCCGCCTAGGGTCGACAGTGCAGCCTAGGCGGAGTAGTCGAACGCAGATTCACTGAGCGCTCAACACAGACAGCATACTCAGAAGGAAGAGCGCAGGGCAAGCTAGCGAGACAGAAGTTAAGCTCTCCTTGCAACATGGACCTCCCCCACCCTCATTCAGATCTGGTGTTTGGAATTATTTTGGTTTTCATGTGACGTATGACCCTGAAGGTAAGCGAGTCATGGACTAAAGTAAAACAGTATGTTGGATGTGCCATGCAATGCTCAATTACATGGGTGGGAACTAGTGTGCTAGTGCAGTTAGCTCGTTAACGTGTTGGCCGTCTAGCCCCATGCACAGGCGATCGGCGGTAGCTCGTTAACGGAGATTTGCCGTGTTGTGGCGTTAAGGTCATTTCAACGAGATTAACCTGAAAGCACTAGTGGGAACACAACGAATATGACTGCACATTTACGCCGACATCATCGTAGTGCAAAGACAAGTGGAAGCAGACAAAAAAAAGCAAGCATGCTACTAACTTTAGCCGAGTCATTTAGACAGCTGTTAGCACATGATTCTCCTTATGCTGCTGAGAATATAGCCCAGAAGAAGCAGATAGTATAGCTTTTATTTTGGAAAGAGCCATTTCTCTGTAATAAACTCTCTTTTCCAAAGATGAGTGATTCCTCAATCAGATACAGGGCTCGCAATATCGCTAGCCCGACGTCCCGGGGCTAGCGATTTTTTTCAGTCGGGCTACCAAAATCTATCTCTTCCCTGTCCGTCGGGCTATTGTAGGAAAAATATATGTCAATGCTTTTGCATTCTTTCAGAAATGTAGCTGGGTAATTATGTCATTGGCATCGATGAGCCACTGTCAATATGTGACATATTGAAGTCGCGTTTGAATTTGCGCTTGTTTTTTGCTTTCACTTTGCAATCGCGTGAACTGTATAGAGAGCGACAGCACTGATCTGTGAGTGATGATAATTTGTGCACCAATTCCTCTGACATCATCTTATTAATCGTTAGCTTACTATGCAAACATGACAAGTGAAATCTCCCGCAGCTTAAACATGTGAGAGGTTGATCGCGCAGAGAATCGCTGAGCTTATGTGAGTGAGCGTGTAAAAGCATTTCAGTTCTGCTGAGCCAAATAAGACAGGTCAGGGTGAAGAAGTGACAGCCAAAGAAAAGCTTACCACAAAACGGAGAAGTTATGACAAATCAGACTATAAGGCAAAAAGAAAGTGCAGCTTTATGGTTTCATGGACAAAAGAATTTCTGTGGCTGCGATATGACGAGCTAAATAACCAGGGCTGCACATAAGTGGTCCGCAGGTGCGCATTCGCTGTCAAAATAAAAAACACGCACAAGGGTTAGGGTTAAATTTAAAAACTGTACTTTTGAGTTAAAATATATATTTACAATTTTAATAAATGACAAATTAAAAAGGCATGAACATTTTTTTGTATCGAAAAAATATCGAACCGTGACACCAAAGTATCGAACCGAACCGAACCGTGGATTTTGTGTATCGTTGCACCCCTAATATATATATATATATATATATATATATATATATATATTATATATATATATATATATATATATATATATATATATATATATATATGTCCAGATGAACAGAATCAACTTTTGGAGTAAAGAGCTAAAGTTATAGCAGTATAATGTGGTTGTTTCTGTTCTGGGGACAGTTTGCAATTTACCATTGTACTCTCATCCTTTTGTAAAGTGATGTCTATATCCACGCTGTAGACTGCACCACTAGTTTTCACTTCTCGCTCACAAACTGAAATCAGCTGATTTTAGCACAAGTGGAACCTATAAGTAGGATCCATAGGCAAGCAGACTTACAACTGCTGTGAACCGGTTCTTAATCTTAATATTCTTATTATTGTATAACGTTGAAGTTGGCTAAATCTTGATTCTTGACTCTATCCTGATTTTCATTTATAATTTTAATGCACTTTACATTTTTAATCAGAATCAGAATACTTTATTAATCCCTAAGGAAATTATTCCTCATTCCTCGTCATCATGCTCAAGGTTAATATGTGTATATATGAAAATGACAACAACAGATATACTTCTGCAGTGAAGTACATAAATCATTGCCAAATGAATCTCTCCCATGGTAGAATGTGTGTAGACTATTCACCCTGTGTTATAGCTTCGGGAATAAGTGTTTGAAATAATCTACCTCTGTTTAAAACAATGCTGTTAAAAGATGAATAAATTAATTCCTACTGTAGTATTTCCTTGCTCTTAAGAGTTCTCACCTGTAAAATGATAATTTTACTGTTCCATTTAAAAATCAACCAAGTTTAGTAAAACCTCTGCAAACTGGCACTTTTCATTTGCTGTTTCAGTGCTCATCATCCTGTGGAAAGGGACTGCAGTCACGGGTGGTTCAGTGTATGCACAAGGTGACCGGTCGACATGGTAACAACTGCTCTGTGATGCTGAGACCACCAACATATCGATCCTGTCACAGTGGGAACTGTGATGAGAAAATTAATGCGAATACCATCACCTCCCCTAGGCTAGGTGAGACACTGATCGCAATTGCAGTTTGCATTTTTAAAGGATAAAGAAATCTTGCACACAGTACAGATTCACCTATACCTACTGAACAGCTAAAGCTTCCTCAAGTTGTAGAACACTAAGAAAACAGCTGCTTTGTAATTTAAAGAACTGGAACACTTTCTCCGAGGCACAAGCTCAATTTACAAATGATTAAGGTCTGTTGAGTAATTTGCTTGATTAATAAATATACAGAAAAGTCAGAATTAAACTTGCATGTAAATGTGTTTCATAGATTAATTATGATAGCTTTTGGAAAAATAAACAGAAATTTGTGTTTGTGTTCACTGCAACATTTATTTATTTATAATAACTGGTTATAATACCATCCTTGCCTTCAGGCAACTGATGTTGTGATTTGGTGCTGTTTAAATAAAATTGATTTGAACAAAACATCAGTTATTGTAGAGATGCTAAAAATGCAAGATGCAAAAAGAACTTTATGACTGGCTCTCACCAGGTTTTACTCATGTATGACGATTAAAGCCTGGTGTTAAGATAACATTTAGAATGAGATTTATGCTAGGGTTGTTTATGTTAGAGTATTTGTTTGTTCTTAGTGAAACCTAGGGGTAAGAGGAATCTCAGTGAAGGTCCTCACAAAAAAACCCAAAATATATTCCAGTGTGTGTATTCATTCTCCCACCATGACAGCCCCATTCTACCCACCCCCTGTGTGGTTCAGTTCAATTCAATTCATTCATACAGCACTAAATCACAACAACCTCAGGGCACTAAGGTAGACCGTACAATAATACACACAGAGAAAAACCCAACAATCATATGACCCCCTATGAGCAAGCTCTTTGGCGACAGTGGGAAGGAAAAACTCCCTTTTAACAGGAAGAAACCTCCGGCAGAACCAGGCTCAGGGAGGGGCGGGGCTATCTGCCATGACTGGTTGAGGTGAGAGAAGGAAGACAGGACAAAAGTAATGCTGTGGAAGAGAGACAGAGATTAATAATAAGTACGATTCAATGCAGAGGTTCCCAAAGTGTGGGGCCCGCAGAGCCATTGCAGGGGGGCGCGGTATGAAAAGAAAAAAAATGAGGACACTGTCACCATAATTGACAGGTTTTTTGACGGGGCTCCCACACAAAAGCAAAGCAGGAGATGAAGCATCGCCAAATATGTTCCCAGGTGGTGGGGGGCGCGAACATTTTTCTTGTAAAACAAAGGGGGGCCTAGCAAAAAAGGTTTGGGAACCACTGTATTTAACGCATTTTGAGTGAGAAAGGTGACTGACGAAGAAATACTCATGGGAATCCCCCCGCAGCCTACACCTGTTGCAGCATAACTAAGGGAGGATTCAGAGTTACCTGATCCAGCCCTAATTATTTGCTTTAGCAAAAAGGAAAGTTCTAAGCATAAAGAGTCTGCTCTTTTATTTGTGTTACCTGGTGAAGTTCAGCGTCTGGCTGTTGGGCTAGTGTCAGCAAGCACTCGGCTCTAGCGTCACTCTGGGTTCTTGGCTAGCTAAGCATTAGCATGCTAGCTGGCTAACTTAGCATTAGCATGCTGCCTGTCCAGATGCTTGCAACGAGCCAAATGTGTGTTTGCAGCATAATGGAGTTGTTTCTGTCCTGGATGCAATTTCCACCTACCATGCTCTTATCCATTTGTGCAATAAAAATGAAAGTTATGTCCCCATCCATACTGTAGCCTGAGCCAGTGAGAATTGAAATCAGCTGATTGTAGTGCATATGCAAATTGAACCGGTAAATAAGATTGATAGCAGTTCCAAGGAGTTGGACGACTGGGAACCGGTTCTCAATTCCATCTCTACATGCATATGTACTTGAGTGACAGTCCATTCTTTATTTAACACGATGTTGACCCACCCTATGCAGCTATAATAGCTTCAACTCCTCTGTGAAGGCTTTCCACAAGGTATAGGAGTATGCTTATGGGAATTTTTAAACTATTCTTTCAGAAGCTCATTTTTCAGATCAAACAGAAGGCATGGCTCTCAGTATATGCTCTAGTTCCTAAAAGTGTTCTGTCTGGTTGATGTCAGGACTCAGTTAAGTTCTTCCACACCAAACTGGCTCTGCGAATGTTTCTATAGACCTTGCTTTTTGCACTGGTGCACAGTCATGTTGGAGCAGGACGGAGGCATTCCCAAACTGTTCCAACAAAGCTGGTAACCTGAAATGGAGAAGCGTGATTCAACACTCCAGAGAACACGCCTCTACTGCTCTACACTTGGTGGTGTAAGGCTCGACCATAGAAACCCAAACTGTTATTGAGCTAATCTGAAGACCCCATGAAGTTTAGGGGTCTGTAGCAACTTTGCAGAAAATTGGCTACCCCTGCACATTATGTGCCTCAGTATCCACTGACCTTGGATGCTGGCCTACCGCTTCATGGTTGAGTTGCTATCATTCACAGTCACTTCTGCTTTGCCACTAACTGTGGAATATTTAGTAGCATGGTGCTGTGATGGGATGCCACCTGCGATGGGATGCACAGGTGACATCGCATCACAGCACCATGCTGGAATTCAATGAACTCCTGTTTGTAGAAGCATTTTACATGCCTAGCTGCTTAACTTTACACGCTTGTGGTTATGTGGAAGTGATTAGAACATCAATTATTTAGGTGGGTTAACATTTTTGGCAATATAATTTAATTACAAGAAAAAGTAGTATAATGGGGAATTAAAAGAAATGCTTAGGAGGACATTGTTAGAACAAAAATGGAATGATCCCACTCAATTTGTCACACTGGTAAAAGATACGATTGATTGCTGGGAAGGCATTGCTAATGAAGTACACTTTTATTAACATTTAACAAGACTCTCACATCTGCTAAATATACTGAATTGCTGCTTTCTTCTCTTCCACCCCAACAGCTGCTCTGACCTACAAGTGCTTGGGGGACAGGTGGACAGTGTACTGTCATGTGATCCGGGATAAAGACCTTTGTCAGGACATGAGGTGGTACCAACGATGCTGTGAAACCTGTCGGGTCTTTTATGCTAACAAAATACTGCACAAGCGCTAATAACCAAAAGCACATACTCCCTTTTAAATGTTATATAATACTGATAAATAATCTACAGAAATTCTTTGGGTTTTTTTTTATTTAAAACAAAAAAGGTAAGTATACATAAATGTATACTGGAAACAAGAATATTTAGCTTGTAATTTTAATGCACATTAGAAAATATCTGATATTTTACTTGCTGTAGACAAAACAAAGAACAAACTTTATTGTACACAGCAACTGACAAATGTGTGTTATATAATAACCTGGCAGGTCCACTAAATAACATGTGATTCAGAGTAAGCATGAACTTTCCCCTCTCCTTCTTTTGTATTGTTTCTGTTATATAGCAAATTTCAAATCATTGGTCACTTTTTTAATGTTTAAGTAACATTATGTAAGTATTAATAAATTACTGTAATATGTGCCTATGATCAGGAGCCATTGTAAAATACTGTAGAACTCTACTGAATCACTCCAGCTTATAATAGAAGACACACTGATCTTACTCGGGTGTGGAAAGCTCATGTAGCAGATAACGATGAAAACAAATTCTGGGGCTCTGGTAGTGTTTGGTTTGCACTCAGTCATTCTCCACCACCCTAAGGGGGGTATTCCATTTTGACCTTGGGACTTTAGGCTATATTTGGCACAGATATCCCTGTATACTATGCCAGCCATGCCCTGTCTGCTAGCATCTTGGGACCTCTTTGCACAGCCTGCACCTGAGGTCTTGCCTGGTGTGGTAGATCCCAGCCTCTATCAATCTTGCTTGTTCCTGTGCAAACATGATTAGTGCCTCTGTGCCTTCCAAAATGGTTCCTCTACTTGCTCTTCTTCTTTCTCAAGTTACTGCCGCCTGAGATATTCAGAGCTGGTTGGTTTCGGTGATGGTCACACCTTGGGAGCGTACTTCACGTATTCTTGGTAATCGACCAAAAGGGTCCAGTTTTCCAGCTGCCATACTGAACACCTTGAACGCATCAGTTTTTTGGGGGGGGCTTGGTATCCATCTCAGAGGGTGGGGATCACAATATCTCGTCCTGACCTAAAGTCCTGGCTTCCCCTTGCCGTAGCGTTCATGTACCTCATTGATCTCTAGTTGTGATAGCAGTTGCTGTCAATTTTGATCCTGGTAGTTTTTGTTTTTATAAAGTTGTGCAAAGGAATTAGGTCAGCTAATCTTTTTTAGTTTGATAGTAAGATTTTACAGTTCAATCATTTAAACTGCCTGTAGTGATCAGGAGCAAGAATATAACTGTTTCGCTAGCAGTATCTGATTAGATGCACCAAGACCTGAAGCTAGTTAACCTGTATAGTTGCATATACAGCTAAACACAAGTCAGAACCAGTATTTGTTGTAGACACAGCTGACAATTCTGTTCAGCCTGTTCAAACCTCACTGGTGCTGCTTCTTCCTCTTTTAAAACTGCCAATCAAAAGTTATAAGCACTTATTTTCCTCAGTATGAGGTGCTCAAAAGAACATCAGTTACTAGTGTGATTACTATCCAGATAAAATAGCCAGATATAATATTTTTTCTCAAATGGCCAAAAAATGTAATACTTGATGAATTTTATGGGGTCTTTAATGCTTTTAGCTGTAAGACTAGAAGGTGCTGTATGAATGCCAGTTCATTTCCCTTATACAGTCAGGGAGAACACATGCGTGTTGGTGTGTATATCATCATATGATAAACGTGTTTTACAGTTGGTTGAATGGTGCTATCTTATAACTTGTTTCACATTTGTGGAATTCAGATTATGTCCGTGTATGATCCTTACAATTAATGGCTGTCTGCTTTTATTTGTTGGTGGATTGATACCATTGTTTTGACAATACTTTTTTTCTTATGGTATAAATATTCTTTATTATTCTTGTACTGTTCTTTGTTAGTTGCACATACACCATGTTTGATTAATAAAATTTCAATAGTAAGTGTTTTTCACCGTGCTGATTGAGAGCTGGGTATTTGTGTATGCATGCATTTGTTTGTATATTCATGCATAAAGACGTGTCATAGATGGTTAATTTAATAAAATGAAAATTATACTTTCTATGAAGAATACTGTATGTAAGTATTAAAAATATTTTATGCTGTGATTTAAGTATCTCTTATATTTATGAACATTTTTGCCTGAAACTTGATTAAAAGGTTGTGACGTGCAGCTGAAAATTCTGGAAAAGCCTAGAAAGTGGTCTTTTTTTAAGACTAAATGTAAATCTTGAAATTTGACATTTTTTCATATTTTAGAATTCGCCACGTAAATTTAGAATTCACTTATAAACAGTGAGATATGCTGGTGGTAGAAACTGCATTTTGTGTTGACTTGTGTCTAACAATTACATTTTTTGCTGATCATCAATTTATGTGTGATAAACATATAAAAAATAGGAAATCAGGAAAGGTTCAAACACTTCTTGACACCGCTGTCGGTCAACACAATGAGTATATAGGGAGAAATGTTTAAGATACAGGTACACCATCACGTGTACACGATTTGAGAGCAGAAAAGAGAAACAACCATCCTGACATCACTCTGAGCAGCTGTGTGATTTTTATGTTAACAGTGTCCCAGATTTGTGACCCACTTGGTGACAGAAAAGTGCCAGGCTGTTTTTAAGTCTTGTTTAAAACACACTGTTACTCTCACGGTACTGAAACTGCGATCCAGTATTTGTGTTTCAGTCTTTGTAATTCTTTAATTATTGTTGTTCATGTTTTTGGGTTTCTTTAGTTCTCAGTGATCTTAGTTGTGTTATCTCAGCCTGTGTTTGAGTCTGTGTTGTTTACCTCCTGTACACAAGGATGAATTATTGATCCATTAATTAATTAATTTCACAAAAAAGAGTTAAACTCTCAATGAAAACCTCGTTTCAAAAACCATTTTCCGATTTCCAAAATCGTTTTTTCAAAATAGGTAAATGGATTTTTTATTTTTATTTTTTTAAGAATAGCTGTCAGTTCTCCTATTCTTTATATCACTGCCCTCTGCCAAGACCGGAGATGGCACTACTGATTTAAGTTAATTTAATTTAATATGTGAGTGCATAGATTCATAAATGATGATCAAAGACAATGTGTGGTTTTATTTTATGTTTTTACATGATGCTTGTCTTTATTTCTTCAGTTTGAAAAGTAATACTCAAAAGTTGGATGATGAATTCATCAAAACCCAGCCAAATCCCAACAAAGTATACTAAATGTCACTGAATGTCAGGTATATTCCAGTCAGTACAGTTTAAGCATTCACTGCACCTACAGTGCTGTGAAATATACAGTAAATGATGTGGAAGAAATTTTCACAGAGATAAAGTAATTAAATCAAGTAGTAATTAAGTAATTAAATCACAGCTCATAGTTTGGTTGTTTATTTTCAAATTTTTTTTCTGTCTGTTGGTCTGTTTGACACTAGCATCCCCAGGCTTCTACCTTTCTACCTATAAAACCCGAGAGCAGTCAAATGGTGGAAGTGGAAGCTAAATTGGCTAGTCATTCATATGTATATTAGGTCGTTACCTAGGAATTCTGGAGGGAGGGGAGTGGGGGTGAGTGATTGAGGGGGGGGGGGGGGGAGCTGCTAAAAGCTGTGAACTTCCTTTTGTGTTTCATCTTGATGCATTCTCAATCATCCAGGGAAATAAATCTCCAAAAGTCACCAACTTGGAGTGTTTCAGTTTGCCATCTTGGGGAGAAATCAACACACATGGGTGTAGGTCCTTTGTTGCTGAGATTTATTGATAAAAACAGTACAAAAAACCAACCATTTGTACACATATTTACAAATAATTCAACATTGTCAGCAATCACTCACAATCCTGGCACTGCCACGGTATCTGTCGTCTGCATTTACCACATGTGTACCTGTAGCAGTGAACACATCGCACAGTGGCCTGATTTTTTTTGCATCTGTGTTTGACCTGACACGTGGCCCTTTTTCCAGGGCTCGGTGTGGAGGGTTCTGCCCGAAGCAACTGATCTTTTCTTGCCTTCTTCGCAGCTACATGAGAGTGAGCCAACTCTGTTGCAAGCGCCACCAGGAAGTCCACCCGTCTTTCCTTCGTCCCGGTGCATGCTTGATACAGCACATGTGCATTCAGTGCTGCCATGTCAATCATGTTATAAAACACGGCGACTGGCCAGCGCCGTGTTCCTTTGCGGACAGTGTACTCCCGAACCATCTGGTCCATCACATCCACGCCACACTTTGTTTTGTTGTAAAGGGTGACAGTGTTTGGCTTTCTTTTGGTGGTGTTATCAGTCTGAACCACGCTGTGCATGCTGCTAAGAATATAGACTGTCTTCTTCCGTTTGGCCGCATACGCCGTCAGCGTGGCAGCAGAGGTTGAAAACACCTAAGAAATAAGATAAATTGTTATTTCCATAGCACTTTTACACACAATGAAACACATAAACATAGAACCACAAAAGACCTGCAACATACCTGAGTGGTGAATTCATTGCGATCTGTCTGTCTAGTGGATTGAGGAATTTCCCTGCGAATCTTGTTGACTGTGCCGAGGATGGTGGTTTTCCGTCCAAGAAGTTTTTGCGCAAGTGAAAGCGATGTGAAAAAATTGTCCGTGGTAACATTTCTGCCCTTGTCTAGGAATGGTTCCATCAGCCTCATTACTACATTTTCAGAAAGTCTCTCCCCACTGGGACGACTGGGGTCCTTGCCAAGATATGGGAAGACATTGCAAATGTACTTGGATTTTAGGTCGCAAGCCACCCAAAACTTGATCCCAAACTTGTCCGGCTTACTTGCAATTTACTGCAGGAAACAGCAACGCGTCTTTGATGGGAAAAGCTGTTCATCAATGGTGATATGCAGACCAGGGTTGTAGCACGTGATGCAGTTGGTGACAAATGATCCCCACACACTGGAAATTGCAGCGAACTTATCAGTCTTTGCTCGATCACTGCGGGTGGACTTGTCATCAAAGCGTAGGTGTTGCATGATGTCTTGGAAGCGGTTTCGTGCCATAGTTCCAATTATCTGTGGGTTTCCCAGGTTTGCTGACCAGCAGTCATTTAGAGATGGAAGCCTGCAAACCCCCCGCAAGATCACAATTGCAATAAATGCCATTAGTTCAGGGAGGTCCATGAACCAATGAACATCCTCCGTTTCCTTTGCATGTTGAATAGTCCATTCTTGAATGCTACGAAGCATGTCAAGAGTGACGAAACACAGGAAGCTCTGAAGGCGAGTCGAGATACTTCTCCTGGCCTTAGCCGTTGGCTCTCCATCTGCAGCGTACGCTTCTATTGGGGTGAAAGGGAGACAGGTCCCCACATGTTCTTCACGCCACACTGTGCCATCTTTCGCTGTCTCAGTCCCCAAACAAGCTCTCTTTTTCGGTGGAGAAGCAGTCTCCTCATCTGCAGTGTGAACAAATTCAAATTGTGAGCAAAATGGGAAAATGGGAAAATGGGAAAATCACAAATGCATGCATAGATACTAATTATAATTCCAGTATCTCCTCCTCTGTATCAGAATAATGTCTGAAATATCTTACTTACTAACTACATCCACTTACTTGTTTGAAATGAAAAAGGAAATAACATGAAATGAAACTAACCGGAAGACTGATCAGACAGCTCTGAGTCCGAATCCGGCTGAACTGCTAGGTCTTCTCCATCCGAGTCACAAGGGTCGACCTCCGTCAGGATCATTTCCAAGGCTTGCTGAGTGGTGAGTCTTCTCTGCATTTTCTTTCCTTGGAGAGGAGGTCCGTACACCAGAGGATTCTTCAGGGCAGGGTGATGAATTTTCTTTCCTTGGAGAGGAGGTCCGTACACCAGAGGATTCTTCAGGGCAGGCAGGCCGATGAATTTTCTTTCCTTGGAGAGGAGAGGATTCTTCAGGGTGATGAATTTTCTTGACAATGAAGGAGTAGGCGAAGTGCTCTGGTGTACGGACCTCCTCTCCAAGGAAAGAAAATTCATCGCCCTGCCTGCCCTGAAGAATCCTCTGGTGTACGGACCTCCTCTCCAAGGAAAGAAAATGCAGAGAAGACTCACCACTCAGCAAGCCTTGGAAATGATCCTGACGGAGGTCGACCCTTGTGACTCGGATGGAGAAGACCTAGCAGTTCAGCCGGATTCGGACTCAGAGCTGTCTGATCAGTCTTCCGGTTAGTTGCATTTCATGTTATTTCCTTTTTCATTTCAAACAAGTAAGTGGATGAAGTTAGTAAGTAAGATATTTCAGACATTATTCTGATACAGAGGAGGAGATACTGGAATTATAATTAGTATCTATGCATGCATTTGTGATTTTCCCATTTTCCCATTTTGCTCACAATTTGAATTTGTTCACACTGCAGATGAGGAGACTGCTTCTCCACCGAAAAAGAGAGCTTGTTTGGGGACTGAGACAGCGAAAGATGGCACAGTGTGGCGTGAAGAACATGTGGGGACCTGTCTCCCTTTCACCCCAATAGAAGCGTACGCTGCAGATGGAGAGCCAACGGCTAAGGCCAGGAGAAGTATCTCGACTCGCCTTCAGAGCTTCCTGTGTTTCGTCACTCTTGACATGCTTCGTAGCATTCAAGAATGGACTATTCAACATGCATGGGAAACGGAGGATGTTCATTGGTTCATGGACCTCCCTGAACTAATGGCATTTATTGCAATTGTGATCTTGCGGGGGGTTTGCAGGCTTCCATCTGTAAATGACTGCTGGTCAGCAAACCTGGGAAACCCACAGATAATTGGAATTATGGCACGAAACCGCTTCCAAGACATCATGCAACACCTACGCTTTGATGACAAGTCCACCCGCAGTGATCGAGCAAAGACTGATAAGTTCGCTGCAATTTCCAGTGTGTGGGGATCACTTGTCACCAACTGCATCACGTGCTACAACCCTGGTCTGCATATCACCATTGATGAACAGCTTTTCCCATCAAAGACTCGGTGCAGTTTCCTGCAGTATATTGCAAGTAAGCCGGACAAGTTTGGGATCAAGTTTTGGGTGGCTTGCGACCTAAAATCCAAGTACATTTGCAATGTCTTCCCATATCTTGGCAAGGACCCCAATCGTCCCAGTGGGGAGAGACTTTCTGAAAATGTAGTAATGAGGCTGATGGAACCATTCCTAGACAAGGGCAGAAATGTTACCACGGACAATTTTTTCACATCGCTTTCACTTGCGCAAAAACTTCTTGGACGGAAAACCACCATCCTCGGCACAGTCAACAAGATTCGCAGGGAAATTCCTCAATCCACTAGACAGACAGATCGCAATGAATTCACCACTCAGGTATGTTGCAGGTCTTTTGTGGTTCTATGTTTATGTGTTTCATTGTGTGTAAAAGGGCTATGAAAATAACAATTTATCTTATTTCTTAGGTGTTTTCAACCTCTGCTGCCACGCTGACGGCGTATGCGGCCAAACGGAAGAAGACAGTCTATATTCTTAGCAGCATGCACAGCGTGGTTCAGACTGATAACACCACCAAAAGAAAGCCAAACACTGTCACCCTTTACAACAAAACAAAGTGTGGCGTGGATGTGATGGACCAGATGGTTCGGGAGTACACTGTCCGCAAAGGAACACGGCGCTGGCCAGTCGCCGTGTTTTATAACATGATTGACATGGCAGCACTGAATGCACATGTGCTGTATCAAGCATGCACCGGGACGAAGGAAAGACGGGTGGACTTCCTGGTGGCGCTTGCAACAGAGTTGGCTCACTCTCATGTAGCTGCGAAGAAGGCAAGAAAAGATCAGTTGCTTCGGGCAGAACCCTCCACACCGAGCCCTGGAAAAAGGGCCACGTGTCAGGTCAAACACAGATGCAAAAAAAATCAGGCCACTGTGCGATGTGTTCACTGCAAAAGATACACATGTGGTAAATGCAGACGACAGATACCGTGGCAGTGCCAGGATTGTGAGTGATTGCTGACAATGTTGAATTATTTGTAAATATGTGTACAAATGGTTGGTTTTTTGTACTGTTTTTATCAATAAATGTCAGCAACAAAGGACCTACACCCATGTGTGTTGATTTCTCCCCAAGATGGCAAACTGAAACACTCCAAGTTGGTGACTTTTGGAGATTTATTTCCCTGGATGATTGAGAATGCATCAAGATGAAACACAAAAGGAAGTTCACAGCTTTTAGCAGCTCCCCCCCCCCCCTCAATCACTCACCCCCACTCCCCTCCCTCCAGAATTCCTAGGTAACGACCTAATATACATATGAATGACTCCAGCATTTGACTGACTGCTCTCCGGCTTTTAAAGGTAGAAACGCAAAATGATGACTCCGCGGGGGTCTAAGGTAGAAAACCAAAATGACTGCTCTCCGGGGGTCTAAGTGTTGATGACAATTTGGACTCCTCTGGGAGATGAGGACACACCCACATTTGTGTCATACCGCAGTCATGTTGTCCTCCATAAATAGCAAAAAGCTTAAATAAATAGATGATTTTATGCTTACTGACATCTTAAAAGGTACAAACTAATTTAAATAAAGAGAATTCAGAGAAAGTAAAAATATTTGTACATTTATAAATACTTCAAATATAGAATAGAGTTAAAATAGCTCACTAAATGTAACAAGAACTTTAGTTTTTAACATTACGTGCTAATCAAACCCTAATGTCGATCACTGCACGGCACAAAATACATATTATTTATTTTCCTGTTCAAGCATGCTTCATGTTTATTGGTTATGTACAATGGTTTTACTGGACCAGCCCACTGCAGATCAAATGTACACTGCATATGGTTAAGGAACAAAAGTTAGTGTGACACACTGATTTAAAATCAAAACAAAAAATCAAAACAGCAACAAACAACCTAAACGCACTATTTCTCAATAATAATGAGATACGTATGACACTTTTGTTTGTATAATGATTAATTTTTCTACACTGATTACTGGTCAGCAGTCACAGATGTCAAGTGTAGCATCCTGTGAAATAATAGCGCGTGTGAGATCGCAGACGGCATATTGTGTCGGATGCTAAGTGTAGTTACATCATTCTGAGTAGAAACAAAGAACCGCAGCGACCCCGCAGCATCACCCAGTCTGTGAACGGAAATACGACTCTCCGCCTTCAAAATAAATGCCCGCATCTTTTCAACGCGGTTCTTCGGGTGCTACATTACATGTCAAAGCGATGTTGTTACTGCAAAACAACATGAAGGAAGCGATTAAATACTGTAACGATGGGTGTCTGGCAGATAAAATCTGCTATAATTAAGCAAAGTTCAACTGAAATGCAAACAAACAAATAGATGAATGCATTAAAAACACTGATGACGTTGCTGGAAAGCAATACGATAAATCAAACTGCTGATGCAATTCTTGCTGCTGATCAGAATTGTTGCTTCTAAGTGAAAACGTGTTTTTGTGTTTGTGTTACTTCTCAAGCTTTTCCTCTGAAAGCGGAAATCAGTGCTGTTGGTGTCCAGTTAATTTGATAGTACTCAGGCTTCGCACAGCAGGCAGTTTGAATTTCCACCCAGGCCCTTCGCGACAGACCCACAGCTGTAGTCAGCAGTAAACCAGGAGGGAAAACGTAGGTCAATGGATTCACTACAGCCCGCTCTGCGTGGGCAGGAGCGTGGATCCGTGTTTAACGTTTAAACCAACCGGGACACTAAATGTCATTGTGTTCACAGTTCGCTGTGGTCATGCGTGTGGGTTTGGTTTGCTCCTCTGTAGGCTGGCGGATAATGTAACGGGCTGAAGGCGTTTTTGGATGCTGCGGGGTGCGCGCTGCGGATTCACATCCAGATGATCCTCCATTCATTTTACCGTTTTTTGGCTCTAACGAGCGCCGTGCCGTTTCGATCCCGCACCCAGCTGATCAGATGATTCTCAGCTCTGTTCACAGTGAGTCCGTGTAAGTGATTTTTGTACAAATACAACCAGGGGCGGATCTAAAGAAATTTTCTTAGGGTGGCATAGGAATCAAATGGGGTGGCAAAATCAAAGCAATTTCTTTACATACATTCTGTAATATGCATTATATATGGTTAAAATACGTCAAACGCAGTAAATGTACACGTTTCGTAGGTTCTTATTTTCTTTAGCCCAAACAAATGGAAAATATCTGTTACATAAAACAAGTGAATGTAGATTTCATGTACTGTATAGCCTGTGTAATAAATAAACATAGCCCGATAAGTACAAAATTCAGAAATCTACACAACATGAGGTGGTTTAGTTAAATTAGAAATAACCACGTGGTTACAAGGTTACATTTACACAAAATCTGCACTGTCATGAAAAGATTTTTCACCTGAAATTTAAACCTAATTTGTCATAATTTATTGAGGGCCAGGGTATAACTGGCCATTTTTGACTGCTTTTCATTTTACCTTTGTATTTCACTTTTAAAAATTATTTACCTTGTCTTGTGTGGTATCTTTTATTTCAGCACAATCTGAATTTACAGTTATGTTTTCACTGGCATACTGTCATAGTATAATATGGGAACAATAATCTAAAATCACACAAAAAACACAAAATCTGAGTAGAAGAAAGTTGTATTTTGTTACTGTAAAAGCCACAAACATGTTTAGCGAAAACTGTGAATTTTAAAAACTTATGCACAATTTTTGCATACAATAAAATTATAAACAACTATTTTTCTAAAGATGCAGCCAAGGCCTCTGTGTTTTCTGTACAACTATTTGAGCCTACTACTAAAACTAAAATTATACAAATCAAATCAAATCACTTTTATTGTCACATCACATGTGCAGGCACACTGGCACAGCACATGCGAGTGAAATTCTTGTGTGCGAGCCCCACAAGCAACAGAGATGTGCAAACACAACAACACAAACGAGCAAAATACAAGAATGGCCAACCTGAAACTAATAAATATATGTACAATATATAATAGTGTATGCATTTCTGGATGTGTATACTAAATATTTTCCTACGTGTGTGTGTGTGTGTGTGTGTGTGTGTGTGTGTGTATACACATTTTTACAAATTAAATAGTAAAAAAAGAAAAAATTATAATAATAATAATAATAATAATAATAAAATATATAAAATATACAGAGTTGAATATGTGCAAAACAAGTGGCATTTATATACAGTGTGGAGTGCATAATGTTAAAGTTCCAGTAGTGAAGCTGAGGTGTCTATGACGTGTTCAGCAGCCTGATGGCCTGATGGAAGAAGCTGTCTCTCAGTCTGCTGGTACGGGACCAGATGCTGCAGAACCTCCTTCCTGATGGAAGCAGTCTGAACAGTTTATGGCTGGGGTGACTGGAGTCCTTGATGATCCTCCCCGCTTTCCTCAGGCAGCGGTTCCTGTAGATGTCTTGGAGGGAGGGAAGCTCACCTCCAATTATCCGTTCAGAGCACCGCACTACTCGCTGGAGAGCTTTGCAGTTGTAGGCGGTGCTGTTGCCATACCAGGTGGTGATGCATCCAGTGAGGATGCTCTCAATGGCACAGTGATAGAAGGTCCTGAGGATGCGGGGGCTCATGCCGAATCTTTTCAGTCTCCTGAGAAAGAAGAGGCGCTGCTGCGCCTTCTTCACTGTTTTGTGTCACAATAAGATGCCACACAAATTATTTGTGCCACTCCAAAAAATAGTTTCTGTCCACCACAAGACAGAGGAGCACATCACACTCCTGAAACCTGCAGGTATGACAACAGGAAGTGTATCACTCCTGTTTCCCACCTGGAGACAGCGTTTACACTGCAATCTGCCTTTGATGACTTTTTGGCAGCGACTGTGACATCCAGCAGTGCCCTCAGTGTCACACAAAACAAAACAATGGCTACACTATACACTAACTGTACACTCCAAACACGCTAAATGTCACAAATCTCTCAAATCTCAAACCACACTGTTGATGTCTCCTCTTTCTCGCTCACTTGCTCTCACCATCGTCACTCCCAAAGCTCTCTCACCTTCCTAAGGTCGACATGGTACATTTTCCCACCAATAGGAAAGTAGTGACGTTTTGTTGTTGTTGTTCATGTTGTTGTTTTGTGCTGTCCTTAGAAAATGCAGTTTTTACAATTTCTTCTTGCACAAAACGTGACGATAGTATTCAGAAAAAAGCATTGTCTATATATATATAACTCTGTTTTCACATGGCGTATTAACACAATTTAAAAACTACTATATAGTTTGAAGTCTGAACTGTCAAAGGAAATTGAAATTGAAATGACGACTCAGTCAGTCTGCATCTTGTTGCTATGTCATGTGATTTGGAGGCGATGACGTGTCCGTAGACCCCAGAGGGTTAATACTGCACACCTTCATTCCATTTCTACAGTGTTGAAATCTAAAATCTCACTGCAATAGACAACACTGTCATATGCAAAACTACAATGGCACAAGGATGACAAGAGATTAGTTGCCACCGCAGTAGATCCGCCCCTGAATACAACTAAAAACGTGAAATGTTGATTTGTATTTATTGATTTTGACAGACATGTCACTATTGCTGTTATTGTCAGAATGTAGGTTATCGATTGGATGGGAAGGAATTGTGTTAACTTTTTCGTCCATTATATTCGTTGTTGTGACTGTGGCCTGTCTGCATTGTGTCTGTTTGATTCTGTTATGTGTCTTATTTCACAGAAAACCAGATTAGCACAGAATGAACATTTGACTGTGTTGTTTCCAGGTGTCAAGCCTCTCCTGAGGAAGAACCGATTCTTTCTTCCTGCCATCCAGCAGCCATGGACTCCCTCCCAGAGTATTCTCTGTTCCTGGTTCGGATCCTGGAAGAGTTGGACACCAAGCACACCACCATGTCCTACCAGGACCTGTGCAAGTCTCTGTGTGCTCGCTTTGACTTGGTGCACTTGGCCAAGCTCCGCAGCCTGCTCTTCCACACAGCCTGCCTGGACCCTGCCTTCCCAGCCACCCTCTTCAAGGACAAGATGCGCTGTTCCACTGAGGACCCGCTGTCCAAAAAGCTCATGGTTGCAGCGGACATTGTCACCATGTTCAATTTGATCCACATGAATGGAGGAATAGCCAAAGATAAGCTTCCTATAGTTCAAAGAGCCACGTTTCACAAGAGTCAGTCAGTGGAGTTCTGCAGGTCTGACAGTGATCACCTTAAGTATCAGGACTGTGACAGGGGGATTGGTTATGAGCACATGGATCACCCCAGGGAAGGGCGCCATCACCACCACTCTCAGCAGCATCCTGTGGCTCAGAACGCCCCTCCCTGTGCTAATTCCTCTGATTGCAACAGCCGGCAGCGCTTTCTTGTCTCCTCAGGACCAAACTTCCTCCTGGGCATGAGGAAAGACATGAAATGTAGAGCAGGCTCTCTGGACAAGCTGCATCATCTGCCTCAGTACTCTAGCAGCAGTCCACCATCACCACCTTGTGAAATGCAGAGCACCTACTTTCCTATGGACATAGACACCGAGTCCACCACTGACCAGGAGTCCCTGCAGAACATGGGACATCCAGAGCCCTTCTCTCTTCACACTTGCATCCAGAAGAGAAACGATTTTAAGAAGGATTTTCACAATTTTGTGGCTTTTTCACCACAGGTTTGTGTTTTTAGGGTGCTGTTGAAAGGAATTACTGAGACAGATGTCTATAGGGAGACGGCCAGGTGACATATGAGATGGTACACAAGTTTAGTAAACGAAATGGAAATTTGAGTTTCATTTGAGTTGAATAGTCTATTGGAGATTCATAATTTAAATATACTAAATTATACCCTAACCCGTGTTTGTAGACACACAAAAATGCACACAAACACGTAAACATATATGTAAAACATTTTTAAAAATTTGAAGGCAATGTTATGGGCATTTTATTTACGTCCTCTGAAATGCAGTGATGAAAAAAAAACAATAATACAAGGTTGTTAAAGTGTGACCCACAGGCCGGTGGCCTTGATCATATGTTTTGCTGCTCACTAGTTTGATGGCCAAACAACACAATACTATGATATGACACCACAAGTATTTCTCCTCAACTTTGACTCTTCTGCTTTAGCAAAGTAAACATTCCTCACACTGACAAATACAGCTGGTGTCAGGAAATGTAACAGCCACCCAATGAAATATTCATTGTCACAAAAACAACAAGTGCTAACCTAAGCCTCCATTTTCTGAACAGACAAATTATAAAGAATATGCAAGTACTGAGTGAGTGCATTTTCCCCTTTGCGACCCTTAATCATATGCTGGCTCCCTGAACTGACTGTGTCGAAAATGTTTTGCTTCTTTTAGAATTGTGAACCAGTAAAGACAGACAGAAAGTGGGAGAGTGGGTGGACATGCAGCACAAGGCCACAGGTCATACACCTGGGCTGCTGCCCGCCGGTCATGTGGTTTCCTGCTCACCCACTGAGCTAAAGTGGCACCTTGTGTACAACACACACGAGAGTGTTTTAATATTTACTTATTTTCTCCCACTATTATCAATACCTGCTTTGATTTAGTGAATAATAGTGTTATCTTAATAATCTCACATCCCAAATATTCTAAACGAACTAAACATGAAAGATTCGATGTCCTGTCAATAACACACACACATAGTATAATAAAAATGTTTTGTATACGGTTTTGTACAGTTTATTGATACAGATGTTCCTGACACCTCTATTGTCTTGTAATTAAAGTTGATTGATGTGCTAAAAATAGTAACATAATGGATGATGTGACTAGATTCTCTACACCGAAGATCTAATTAGTCCATTTGTATTTTATAAATCAGTTATTGCCCAGATTTCTCTGTAGTATTGTGTTATTTCATAATTCTAAACTTTCTTAATCCCCGAGTTATGATTGATAATTGCTGCATTTTTGTGCCTTTAAGCCAACTCCATCTTTGTCTTGGTTATTGTTGCAGGTCATCACCAGTGAGTGCAAACAGGGCAGTAAGGCTGCTGAAGGTTACCACAATAGGGAGTTACGTAAGCCTGCTACCTTCTTCAACCGTAGCTTCGAACTGCCCTACAGTAACCCCTACTTTGAACCGCCACTTAACTCCCCCCTACAGGACAGACGGAGGGTGAAGCACGAGAGCCTGGATGACTTACAGGTGTCAACTTATTTTGGTCCAACCACCGTCTCTGAGTGTGTTAGTAGCAAGAAGCACATTAACAAAGCAGGGAAACAGCCAGTATGGCCCATGAAGAGCCTCAGTCTCAACGCAGAAGAGGGCCCTCCTGTTTCAGAAAGGATTTTTCAAAGCAGCAGACCACTCAAAGAAAACCATCAGTGTAACATTATTACCACTGAGAGTGAGCAATATTTTCACACCCCGATGCAAAAGGTATCAGCGTCACCTGGCTTTGCAAAGAAAAGTACTGAAATAAAACCCAAGGATATATCACTGATGGGTAGGGGACCCGGAGGTCTGGACAATGGAGACGTAGCCAAAAGGTTTGGGGACAAAAATACGAAGAATGCATCCTTTCAAGAAGGGGAAAGCGCCTCTAGTGTTGGAACACAAACTGAGCGGATTGAACAGAAGAAGCTGAAAGAATACCAATCTAAGTATAACGACAGCGAAAGGCACGGTTTGAAACGCTCAGTTGAGGAGTGTGAGGTCATTAGTGATGACATAAGTGATATTTTTCGTTTTCTGGATGATATGAGTGTTTGTGACTCTCTGGGTGTTGTTCAGTCATCATGTTACAATAGTAATGGGTCTCTGTCTCAGGTAAAGTCAGAAGGTGACAGCTCCCCTGAATGCAACACAGTCAATTAGCCAAGTCTAAGGTAGACCGCCTGTTCCATTCACTTGAAAACACTGATGATGAGCTCAAAACAAGTGTGTGTAAGCTTGTGAGGAGAATTGGTGAGATTGAGAAGAAGTTGGAGTCTTTGTCGGGGTTCGCAGTGAAATATCCCAGGTACTTTCCAAGCTCAACAAACTGGATGAAAAGATCCAGGAGCCTGAGGCCAATGGGAGGCACGGGAGAAAGCATCATCATCATCATCCAGGTCCAATGCCACACCGACAAAGGCTCAACCCTACCCACATCCACATTTCAACAGTACTGCTCTTTCACCCCATGTTTACCAGTGCAACACCACTGGTCACAATGTGAAAACAGACAATGGATATGTCGGAGAGTGGTGTTGCTCAGATGGGAGTAATAGCAACACTCTTGGGATTAAGGCTGTGAAGAAAGGCATGCTATTCAGAAGGTCTTCCTGTTCACTCAACGAGGAGCCCATGGCTACCGAGTCGAAGGTTGCTAGCATAACCAACTCTCTACAGGACCGGGGGACTGTGTCCTACTCCTGTCACCCTGAGGACAGAGACAAGGATAGGCATCGGAAGGTTAAAGAGGTATGTGTGTGTGTGTGTTTGTATAAAGAAACACAAATTCAGTAACAAGAATTTTGCATGGCACTTGTAGATTTTATGGAATCATTTTACATTGTATTCACAAAGCATGAGAGAGTTTTTAAAGGGAAACAATCTGGAATGTATATTGTGTCCTGGAGTTATCACTTGTATGATCAGACGAGATATCGGGGCAGTAGGTTTATAAGTATAACTGCTGATATTCGTCTACTTAACTAAATGCACATTCTTATTTGTATCTGTCATTCTTCTTGTGAAGGTGATGTTAGATCATGCATTATGCTGAACTGGAGTTAGTATAAGAAACCAGTCATTGTTTTAGTCTTGGCTGCATTTTGGTCACCTTAACAAGCTTGTGTGTTGTGTCTTACTGGTGACCCTGGTGTAGAAACATCTGATTGGCCTGGACAGACCTCTAACTGATGGAACACCTTTGGCATGAGTCAGAGCAGAGACCGTGAGTCAGGCCTTCTTATCCAACATCAGGCCCAGGATCCTCCAGCAGTCACCAAGCTCAGCCACCAGGCCACAACCAGGCTTCAATAGCCCAGGACCAGGCTTCCTTATTAGCCTCCAGCCATTTTTGCAGAAGACAGACTGACTAGGGTTGTGGACAGTGAATGCTCCTACTTTTCCCTTCACAAAGCACCTTATGTTTTGCTCCTGTGCCTTGTCATTTGCACATTATCAACTGATTGGCGTCACAAACCAACAAGGTCGGCTAATATCAACAATCTGCTTGACATTCTCAAGTAACACACTTTTGTGGTGTCCGACTAGCGTAACAATCAAAAGGGGAAAGGTTTCTATTGCTTCCCTCTAGTGCTGACACATCTAGCATTCCTTAACAACTGTGAATTGTGGAAGCCAACTGTCAACTTCCTGCTAAGCAACAACTAAACAGGTTAACTGTGTTTGTTTATATCTTAATTGAGCAAAGATGGGTACAGTCTCTGAGGATGAGATTGAGGGGATTAAGAAATCTCTATGTTGTATGTCAGGAGAGTTTTCTAATATCTCCAAACAACAGAAGTTGCTATTGCAGTATGAATGACTTAATAGTAAGTGGACTGGAAACAGAATACAGAACGTATGGCAGAGCTGCAGAGGAAGAAGCTGGCATCTCTCAGCTGTGGGTACTTCTTGAGCTTCTCATGTTCCTTTTTCCTGATGTTGCTATCACTCAGGATAGCTACATCGATCACTGTCTTCCTCAGCTTGTTCACCATTACAATGTCCAGTTGGTTAGCCATCACCAGTTTGTGTGTCTGTATCTGTAGTCTCACCTGATCTTAGCTCTGTCATTCTCAACCACACTAGAGGACGTGTCCCATTTTGACCTTGACTTCCAGGAAACACCACAGATGTTCCTGTATATTATTTTGGCCACCCAGTTATGTTGCACATCTTTGGGGTCTTGCCTGGTGTGGTAGACCCCAGCCTCTGTGGATCTTGTGTTTAGAGCCTGTTCCTGTGCTGCCATGATCAGTGTCTCTTAGCTGTCTTTCAGTCCATCCTCGTCCAGCCACTTGATGTCAGTGTCTTCTGTCTCCACCTTTGGCCAGCTGATTATCTGATCACTGGCAGGGTGTAGGTACTATGATATGGTGATGTGATATGTTACTATGAAGTCTTTAACATTAGATGTGGCCTCATTATTCAAGAATTTGTATGAGGAGAAACATTTTAAATTCGATTTTGGATTTAACAGGTAGCCAATAAAGAGAAGCCAGCATTAGAGACATTTGCTCTCTTTCCTGTCACTGTCAGTACTTTGCCTGCAGCATTTCAAATCACCTGAAAGGTTTTCATATAGCCTCGAATTCTCCCATGAAGGTTTTTCAGCTTCACTCTGAGTTAGGATGTTTTTTTAATTTTAGAGATATTGCACAAATACAAGAAAGCAACATATTCGTTTAATGTGCACATTGAAGGACATATCCTGGTTAAAAAATGACTCCAAGATTCCTCACAGTGCTGCTGCAGAGTAAGGTAATGCCACCGTAGCTCGTTAGAACGTGTATGCTTTACTGTTTCTGTTCTATAATTTGGAAACTAAGAATTGGGAAACTTTTCTGATATACTATTTCTTCTGATTATCAGTTTGGCTGATTTACAAGTACTCTTTCAAGAATCTTTGAGATTTTTTGAGAAAGGAAGGTTAGAGATTGGTCTATAATCAGCTAAGACACTGGGTCAAGTGATGGCTTTTTATGCAAGGATGAGAGGTGAAACGTCTTCAAGCAACTTAAAGAAGTCCAGACGCTTTTCTTTGCAAGCTCCTTTGACTACGATGACCTGGATGACTGAGAACCTTCACAGACACTTTTTATGCAATGGTTTACTGCCAGCTTAAAAGCCTGTAGTATGCAGCCTGTTAATAGAGATAGACTAATCATATTCAAAACTGAAGTATTCATTTTTGTAGGATTCATATTATTGCATTACTTCTAGGCTAGACTACTGTAATTTGTTATTATGAGGAAGTCCTAAAAACTCGCTGAAAAGCCTTCAGCTAATCCAAAATGCTGCAGCAAGAGTCCTGACAGGGACTAGAAAGAGAGAGCAGATTCCTCCTGTGTTGGCTTCCCTTCATTGGCTTCCTGTTAAATCCAGAATTGAATTTAAAGTTCTTCTCATCGGCTGGGGGATGTGTGTAAGTACTGCTGTTCAGCAGTGGGGTGTTTGTGTCACGTCCCCCACCCAACAGCACTCTAGTTTTCATACAGTAATAGTCATCCCGTATATACACTCACACTCCACAGCACACTGTGTCACACTCTGCCAGGTGCGGGGGTCTACAGGTCGTTTGTGGGCGCTGTGGCTGCGTCCTGGCTTGCTGTTTCAGAGGGACGTCTCCTTACCGCACCGCCGGGGGGATTGTCAGTGTGTGCGTGTGTGTCTTTGTGTGTCATTAGTGGGTTCGTGGGTATTATTAGTCCTTTATTCAGCCAGGTAAAAATCTCATTGAGATCTAATTTCCAAGAGAGACCTGGAATCAGGTGTTTCTTGTGTGTGTGTGTGTGTGTGTGTGTGTGTGTGTGTGTGTGTGTGTGTGTGTGTGTGTGTGTGTGTGTGTGTGTGTAGCTGGGTTTTTCCTTTCCACTGTTACTAAGCACTTGCTCAAAGGGGGATCAAGTGATTGTTGGGGTTTTCTGTTGTCTTTGTATTATCGTGGGGTCATGACCGTGCAGTATAAAGCACCATGAGGTGATTTGGTGCTTTATAAATAAAATTGAATTTAATTGAAAAGTGAATAGGACTTTTCTGAGCATTCTTGTAGCAATGGTGTCTAAAAATCGATCATTTGGAGGGAGTGAATATTGAAGTTAACTCAGGAACAAGTTTAAAAGAACATAAGTAGTGCTGAAAGTATCTGGACGTAATGATATATCTGTGAGATGGTTGTAAATATTTCTCTGCGGTGATTAAAATCTGCTGTGTTTATCCTTCGCTGTTTTCTTAGACAGATCGAAAGCGTCAATATGAGCTCCCCCAAGTGCAACGACTCCAAAAACAATCAAAGGATTCCTACCTGACTGAGCAGGTTTTTTCACCGCATCACTTCAACCCTTCTGTCAAGGCCCATATGAAAGACAGCTCTCTGTACGCTGATGTAAGGCTCACCAGTCCATCAGCTGGGATACGTGGCCAGCCATCCTGGACCATTGAGGAATACAAACGCAATTCAGGAAAGAAGGAAAAGCAGCTCACTGCTCTTGACCTGCAGGTACAGTTCTGGGCTCTGCATACATATTGCATATTATGAAATGTCGAGCAACTTAATTTCTGAACCATACCCTAGTCATGCTGCTGTAGATTCAGGCTTCTGGGGGTCCTTCTATGATCCACTGAGCATTTTTTTCTCCACTCACCTCTTGTCACTCATTAAATTCTGTCTTCTATCTCATATAGTTTGTGTTTTACATACTTATCACTTAAAATCTTCACAAAAATATGCATGTATTATTGAAACCATTTCACTTCAATCCCACCAAAAGCAACAAGAAGTAGTGGGTAATGAAATCTGTTGGAGTATCTAATTGTTGTTTTGTTTCGTAATACAATCACACAATGATATTGTCCAAAAGGAGCCAAGAATCCATCCTGGCCATTTATATTCAGCACCAAGTCCCAAAAAGTTGATTGTGTTCATCTGGATGTAGCGTTTCCAGAAACATTTGGTCACTCATCAACTGACTTCTTCAGTCTTCAGCACCAAGGACAGTACTTTGACAAATAAATAAATTAGAATAGAATAGAATAGAATAGAATTCAACTTTATTGTCATTGCACATGCACAGGTACAGGGCAACGAAATGCAGTTTGCATCCATCCAGAAGTGCTTTAGTGATATAGATATATTACAATATATATTATAATATAGATATGTGAGTATATTACAGAAATGGGTCTATTATGGTATGTTATAATGTACACGGTATGAAGTATGTTGTGAATATTCTATAACTATAAGTATGTACAGGCTGTAGTGAGTACAAGCTATGTACAGGATATGAACAGGATATAAATATGAAAAACTATACAGAATATGAAATAAATAACTTTACAGAATCTGGGATATACAGCTATACAGAAATGGGAACTATGCAGGTTGTAAACAGTTGTAGGATTAAAGATTATTGAATGTACAGAATGATTATTTACACAGGGCTATACAGTAGTGCAGTTAAGATAAGTGAGATATGTGGATAGTTTCTACAGAGGTATATAAAGTGCTAGTGGTTGTGAGTGGTGGTTCAGTCCATGTTATTATTGTGTTTGAGGGTACAGTTGTCCATTGTGGGTGTGTGTATGTTCAGTCCATGAGTTTAACGTGGGTCAGATGTCAGGAGGCAGAGTTCAGGAGTCTGACAGCTGTGGGGAAGAAGCTGTTCCGGTACCTGGTGGTCTTAGTCCGGAGGCTCCTGTGGCGCCTCCCAGAGGGCAGGAGGGTGAAGAGTCCATGTGATGGGTGACTGGGGTCTTTGATGATTTTCTCAGCCCTTTTCAGACACCGCTTCCTGTAGATGTCTTTTATGGCAGGAAGTGGTGCTCCGGCGATGCGCTGGGCAGTTTTCACGACCCTCTGCAACGCCTTCCGGTCCGAGGCAGAGCAGTTCCCGTACCAGACTGTTATACAGTTGGTCAGGATGCTCTCGATGGTGCAGCGATAGAAGTTCACCAGGATGTCTGAGGACAGGTGGTTCTTCCTCAGAGTCCTCAAGAAGAAGAGGCGCTGGTGAGCCTTCTTGACCAGCTTGGAGCAGTTGGTCGTCCAGATCAGATCCTCGGAGATGTGGACTCCCAGGAACTTGAAGCTGCTCACACGCTCCACAGCCGTCCCCTTAATGTGGATGGGTGGATGTGGGTCAGCATTCCTCCTGTAGTCCACGATGAGCTCCTTGGTCTTCTCGGTGTTGAGCAGCAGGTTGTTTCTGTCGCACCACTCAGCCAGACGATCCACCTCCTCCCTGTAGGCGGCCGCATCGTTGTCACTGATGAGGCCAATCACCGTGGTGTCATCTGCAAACTTAATGATGGTGTTGGAACCATCAGCAGGTCTGCAGTCGTGGGTGAAGAGGGAGTAGAGGAAAGGGCTCATCACACAGCCTTATGGTACACCGGTGTTCATCGTGATGGTAGATGAACAGTGGTTATCCAGCCGGACATGTTGGGGGCGGTTGGTCAGGAAGTCCAGTAACCATTTGCAGATGAGGGAACTGATGCCCAGGCCTGTCAGTTTCCTGATGAGTTGTGAGGGGTGGATTGTATTGAATGCTGAACTGAAGTCTATAAACAGCATTCTGGCGTAGGTGTTGTTGTTGTCCAGGTGTGAGAGGACAGAGTGCAGTGCGATGGAGACTGCATCCTCTGTGCTCCTGTTCTGGCGGTATGCGAATTGGTGGGGGTCCAGGGTGGGGGGGGAGACAGGATTTGAAGTGTGCTAGGACCAGTCGCTCTAAGCACTTAGTGATGATGGGGGTGAGTGCTACTGGGCGGTAATCATTGAGGCAAGATGGGTTGGAGTTTTTGGGTATCGGGACGATGGAGGTGGATTTGAAGCAGGCCGGTACCACAGCGTGGGCCAAGGACCATACACGAGGAGGTCTTGCAACTTTGGACGTATAGAGGGGCACACTTAAGGCAGCTATTACTCCAACCCGAGATACAATCCTTGTCATAGTTAATACAGGGTTTTTTTTATCGTACCCAGGGGTGACCCAGAAAAAGAGGTGTGTGCTGTGCTTTGAACAGGCAAAAATTGATTTGTTCCGTGCGATTACCAGAAAGGGGGAGAGTGACTGTCATTTTTAGCATCTACGTGGATGTTAAAATCACCCACAATAATTGTTTTAACTGAGCTGAGCACTAAATCAGATAAAAAGTCTGAGAAATCAGACAAACTCTGTGTAAGGCCGAGGTGGACGAGTACAGGGAAGTGCAGTAGTCCTGTTCCAGTCAGGCAGCTATTTATTTTGCTCCTTCGTCCAAAGGAAGGCTGCTTGGGTGGTCTTCCAGAGTGGATGTTGGTAACATATGGAGGCCTCAAAAGGTAGCAGACCAGTTGACCAGCAGGTCATGCAGTTTTGGGTGTATTCCAACCAGGCAAGCTGCATGGTCCGGTTGGAATTCCAGCTCCTGATTGACCTATTTAATTAGCAATGGGTGGTGAATTTAAATGTATGGTAATGACAGATAATTTTGATATCAGACATAGTTTATCTCCCCACAAACACACAGTTTTAAAATAAAACTTTTTTTCCTGCTCATTTGATAACAATTCCCCACTTTCACTCACTTACACTAACAGACACACACGCATGCACAGACACACATGCATGCGCACACACAAACACACGCATACACACACAACAGATATTCTGGTTATTCATTTGAAATTCTTGAGTTTAGACATTTAAAATACATAATTTCACTCTGTAAGTAATTTAAAGAATATGAGCTTTTCACTATTCATTCAGACGTTTATAGTAATAAGCCTATTGGAAGCTCTGGATACCAGGATCATTGAATTAGAGACTCATCTGAAAGCCTGATGCTCAGCCTCCTCCGCCCCAGCTTTGCTACCACCGATGGTACACCTGGACCTCACACAGAGTTTCTGTCTGACTTCTCACTCACAATAAAACAATTATTGTGGGTGATTTTAACATCCATGCAGATGCTAAAAATAACAGCCTCAACACAGCATTTAATTAAAAAATGTTTTTTTTTTAAAGCCAAATGGAAAACATCCCTAATTGTTATTTATAGTCTTTGTGTCTTTCATCAGACCCAGGAGTCGTTAAACCCCAATAATCTGGAGTACTGGATGGAGGACATCTACACCCCAGGCTATGACTCGTTGCTCAAGAGGAAAGAGGCAGAATTTAGGAGGGCCAAGGCGTGTAAGATTGGAGCACTGATTGCAGCTGCTACTTGCACTGTGATCCTGGTTATTGTTGTTCCAATTTGCACCATGAAATCATGAATAAATGAGAAAGGTGGTAGCCATGCACAATGGATGTTATACTTCTACCTGTAGGTGTTTTCTTTTTGTGGACCAGTAAGTGCAAAGCAAACTGAGTGACAGCATGAGAATGTACGACTTTACATTGTTTTTTTTGTTTTTATGGTGTTTACATCTGGGAATATTGCCAATGTAGAAATATTAAGGTTATAAAATCAGCAAGTGCATAATATCTATCTGTCTATCTGTCTAGCTATTAGGGGTGCAACGATATTCGTATCGATATTGAACCGTTCGATACAGTGCTTTCGGTTCAGTACGCATATGTATCGAACAATACGACATTTGTAATTTATTTTATCAACTTTTCTTCGGACGATGCTGTCTGTGTTCAGCGCTCAGTGGATCTGCGTTCGACTACTCCGCCTAGACTGTCGAGCGCAGATCCACTGAGCACAGCACAAGCTAGCAAGACAGAAGCTAAGCTCGTTGCAACATGGCAAATTGAACCTCCCCCACCCTCATTCAGATCTGGCATTTGGAACTATTTTGGTTTTCATGTGACGTATGACCCTGAAGGTAAGCGCGTCATGGACTAAAGTAAAACAGTATGTTGGATGTGCCACGCAATGCTCAATTACATGGGTGGGAACTAGTGTGTTAGCGCAGTTAGCTCGTTCACGTGTTGACGCCATCCAGCCCCACGCATGGGGCGATCCGCGGTAGCTCGTTAACAGAGATTTGCCGTGTTGTGGCGTGAAGGTCATTTCAACGAGATTAACGCTGACAGCACTAGTGGGAACACAACGAATATGACTGCACATTTACTCCGACATCATCCTAGTGCAAAGACAAGTGGAAGCAGACAAAAACAACAAGCACGCATGCTACAAACTTTACCCGAGTCGTTTAGACAGCCGTTAGCACAGGATTCTCCTTATGGAGACCTGATATGTTTAATATGCTGCTGAGAATATAGCCCAGAAGAAGCGTATAGTATAGCTTTTATTTTGAAAGAGCCATTTCTCTGTAATAAACTCTCTTTTCCAAAGATGAGTGATTCCTCAATCAGATAGATTTTTTTTTTGTTGTTGTTGTTTCAGCAACATTAAATTTAAAAACTGTACTTTTGAGTTAAAATATATATTTATAATTTTAATAAATGACAAATTAAAAAAGCATGAACATTTTCTTGTATCGAAAAAATTTCGAACCATGACACCAAAGTATCGAACCGAACCATGAATTTTGTGTATCGTTGCACCCCTACTATCTATCTATCTATCTATCTATCTATTTTAAGAATTCTAGTTCATTGTAATGCTAGATGGAAGGTAGTTGATGTAATTGTCCATCTTAAACAACTACAGCACATGATAACAAAACTGTTGTAATTTTAGCCAACATATAGCAACTTATGATAGGGTATATATTTTTTATTTTTCATATGATTACTGTACTTTATTTTGTTCAAAGTTATTTTTTGATTAATTATCTAGTTGTGAGAATTTATCTTTATCAATAAAAACAAGCATTTTGAGTAATGACATTTATGCTACACATTTTTCTAAATAGAAATATGTATGTCCTTTAGCCTAAGTACAGTTATACTCCAAAGTAGATGTATGACTATGTACAGTATGACTGTACAGCCAATGTGAATGTATTGATAACTTTTAGCCTACTTGTGAAGAATGAGAATTACATTTGAATGTTGCTGCAGTCTCCTCCTCTTTTTCTGAATTGTAACCAGCCAAAAGCACATGTCCTTTAAATAAAAAAGAAACTGTGGCTTTGTTCATTTCTTTGCAGGCATTTGTTCAGTGAATATTTCTACATCAGTGTCCTAGCTAGCGAACTCACCTAAGAGGATTAAATGGGCTGGACAATTAACTGGACCAGCTTCTTTAGTGAAGCCAAATGTGTAAACAGAACAGAACAGCTGTAATGTTGTAGTCCAATGAGCTGTGTAGGTGCTCATTGGACTACAACATTGCATTACAGATTTTCAACTTATTGAACAGTTGAAAATCTAGCAGAACATTAGTTCTGCTAGATTTTCAACTGAAACAATTCACATACATTCGCTAATCTGTTCCAACTTCCTATCCAACTGATCTCCACTCAGTGTCTTAGACCCAAGCTATTCTGCCAGATACATGTTACTACAGATGAAATTATCAGTCTACTTTTGACTTTACACTTTTTTTAATTCTGTACATTCTGTTCATTTAATTTATTGTAAATATGTAAAATATTAGTCATTTATTACACAAATGGATTAATAATGAATGCATTCCAATGCAATACCCTCACATTTGTTTGAAACTATAAACTTAATTTGAATGTTATCCACCCGTTGAATGGCTTTTTCCACGGCCTCTAAAAGTAGCCATACGGGCAGACAGATAATATATTACTGCACAATATGTGCTGAAAGCATGTCCATACTGCGCGCCATGATAGCAACTTTTACAGTTTCATTGACACTTTCAGTAAAATATGAAAAGAAAAAACTTTATTTTTACTTAGAGACACAAAATGAACATATCCAGTATTCATGTTCTGTATAGGTGTTTACTCAACAGACCCCTCTGGCTAACTGGCTTTACTTTTGTCAGTGATCAGGACATCAGTTTCCCCATTCTTAAATACTTCTAAATAAATGGTTGTGTTTTAGATCCTCAATGCAAACCATATCAATCTGCTGGAAACCCAGCTCTAAGCAGGCACCCACTGTGTCGTGTTTCTCTCTCCTTTTACTATCTATTGCTTTGAACTCGGAGCTGCAGTAAACTGTGAAAGTCTGTAAATATTGTTGAGATTTGAACCAGCTTGAAGTGTTAATTGAAAAATTATTGTAATAAAAACAAATTCTTCTGACTGTTAATGGATCTGTGTTTTTCTTATTCCTACACTGCATTCATACCCGAGAACACTTCGCCACTAAAGAGGAAATTCTTCTCAAAAGCAAATTATCCCTCCTGTCAAAATGGCGTGCTTCCACCAACACAATTACACAGCCTTTACTCGTCTTTTAAATTGTGCTGAGGCAGAACTGTCAAAGTTGAATTGCACAGGATGCTGTACTGTAGTAATGTGAGACCCACTGGGAATCTTGGCCATACTGAACATACTCACCAAAAAACATTTCTGTCACTAATTTTCACCAACAGTCTTCTGCCAGGCAGCTTTAAACATAACAACATATGATCTGGACAGTCTACAGCTTTATACTGATGAGTGTTTTGAGTGCGTCATCATGGGGAAACCAAACAAGACAGAGACTCCCTCCAAAAGAACAGGTACTCCATCCACAAAGAAAAGCCGCCAGGAAGACTCCCTGGAACTGGTCTCTCTCCACAGACAGTGACATGGTCGATATTTTGGAATCTATAGATAAAACCTGTTCAGCTTTGACACAAACCCAGACCACAGCCAGGAACTGAGAGGAAGGGACTTCAACGACCAGTTTCCTAAGGGGATCCTGGAGCAACGCACGGTCCTGATTTGAAATAAGTTGTCCAAGGAGGCTCTCATGATGTCATTGCAGTTGATACGCTATATGTTAAAGTCAACTTTATCGTGACCAGAACACCGCTCCATGGCTGTGCTGATCCTGTGTCGAACGCCTTTTTCTAATTCTCTCTTCGTGTCTATTATAGACATATCTGCCTTTTCCTGTTGTTATTGCTGTTGATTTGAGATCATTTCAGACGTATTCTTGGGTGGCTGGACTGTGTGAGTTATTGCACAATTAAAGCACAGGCACACACACACACACCTTTACACACACACTCAACACTACAAAATGTGTAGTTCATATACTTAATATAAATTTTGGTGATCCCTCCTTTTGTTAATGCCCTTTTCACTTTATTTTTGGATCAGTCTGACACCACACTTATTTGAACTGGAAGAGATTTCAACCTGTTACTTAATCCAGAAATTGACAGGCACAGTAGAGCAATGAGTCAAAGGACCTGGCAGACACTACGACATTCTTAAATAATACATACATGATTTTGGTGTTAGCAATGCTTGGTGTCATACGACTGTAAGGTTTTCTCTGTATGTATTACCGTAGGGTCTGCCTTACAATAAAAAGCTCCTTGAGGCGACTGTTGTTGTGATTTGGCGCTGTGTAAATAAAACTGAACTGAACTGAATTGAGACTTTCAGAACACCTCCACAACTTCACTACTGCTACCGACAATTAGGTACAAACTTTTCCTTTTGGCTTTCAGACTTGGTAAAGCTGCCATGTGTAAGGTAAATATTTTGTATTTGTATACATAAAAATAAACAAGTTAATCAAGTGGGTTTAACACATTAACCTGAATTGAGATTGTAGTTTTGGTTACAAGAGACATTTGTGGAGAAAAACATGAAAATGAGGGGGTAAAATTCTGTTTAATAAACAGGTGAGAAAGAGCCTTTGAGAGGATGTATCTTGGATGACATCAAGATTCCAAAATATCCTCTGCAAGACTTCAAACATGTGTTTGAGCTCTGGTGGATGGCTCAGGTCCAAACAACAGACAATCTCTCCCTGTTCCTCACACCTCAGTGCTCACCACTCATCCGATGCGTGAAACCTGCTGTGAAGACAATTAAAGTGTGGCCAGAGGGGACAGATGCCGTGCTCCAATTCAAAACCACAGACTGGAATACGTTCATCCACACAGACTTGGACCAGTACACCTCATCTGTACTGGACTACATCTCCACGACTACAGACAGTGTCACCACCCAGAAACAGATCACCATGTACCCCAACCAGAAGCTTTGGATGAACTGGACCCGCAATAACGCCTTCAGGTCAGGGATGCACAGGCCTACCATACAGCCAGGGCTAAGCTAAAGAGGAGCTTAAAAAACGCAAAACACCACTACAACTTTTATGCTTGTTTTGAGCGAGGGAACCCAACAACTGCAACAACTGCAACTAAAGCAGATGTGACTGCAGATTTCATTGAGCTTCGTTGCCTTGTACTTGTGACGTGTGCAATGACAATAAAGTTGAATTCTATTCTATTCAGACCAGACACCTGGGCATTGCTAACAAACAAGTGAGGACCAACACATCCTGGATGAAGACATTGATGTCTAACTCATAAGAGTAGCAACATTTCAAACGTTTGAAGGCATGGCAGAGGGGATCTGAAGGCGAACCAGTTTGGTGATAAAGATGAGCTTTATCACCAAACTGGTTCGCCCTCCATCCCTCCCCTGGACCCTGGTGATGGGTCCGGGGAGGGATGGTCTCAAGCTAGGCAAAGAAGCTGTT